GTGGAGCCGAAGGAGCCATAAGAGCGAAAAGCCACAGGAGCCGAAGGAGCCATAGGAGCCGAAGAAGCCAGAGGAGCCGGAGGAGCCATGTACCAAAGAAGCTAAAAGACAAGCAGCCAGAAGCCAAAAAGCCAAGAAGCCACGAAGCCACCAGGAGCCACCAGGGACACAGGAGCCGAAGGAGCCACAGAAGCCAGGAGCCACACAGGGAACTATAGGAGCCACCAGGAACCAAGGAGAAAAAAAAGAAACAAATTAAATTACCCTCCCTCATTTTTTTGGGGGTCCTTACTGTTTCCTTGCTAACTTCCAACAATCTCCCGATAACATGGGTTTCGTTTTTGGTCCTAAAATAGCCCGTCTACCACTGGTCAGGTACATCCTTTCATTCGAAAGCTAGCTTGTATTTGTAAAGAATGGCAATTTGTATGCTTCCTTCCCTGCTTTTCCTCCTTCATTTCCTCCTTCCTTTCTTTTCCTTCCCTCTTTCCTTCCCTCTTTCCTTCCCTCTTTCCTTCCCTCTTTCCTTTCCTCTTTCCTTTCCTCTTTCCTTTCCTCTTTCCTTTCCTCTTTCCTTTCCTCTTTCCTTTCCTTTCTTTCCTTTCTTTTCCTTTCCTTTCTTTTCCTTTCTTTTCCTTTCTTTTCCTTTCTTATCCTTTCTTATCCTTTCTTTTCCTTTCTTTTCCTTTCTTTTCCTTTCTTTTCCTTTCTTTTCCTTTCTTTCCCTTTCTTTCCCTGTCTTCCCCTCCTTCCCTCCTTCCCTCCTTCCTTCCCTCCTCCCTCCCTCCCTCCGTCCTTCCTTTCTTGCTTCCCTTCTTTCATTCCTTCCTTCCTTTCCTTGCTTCCCTTCTTTCATTCCTTCCTTCCTTTCTTGCTTCCCTTCTTTCATTCCTTCCTTCCTTTCTTGCTTCCCTTCTTTCATTCCTTCCTTCCTTTCCTTGCTTCCCTTCTTTCCTTCCTTCCTTCCTTTCCTTGCTTCCTTTCTTTCATTCCTTCCTTCCTTTCTTGCTTCCCTTCTTTCATTCCTTCCTTCCTTTCTTGCTTCCCTTCTCTCCTTCCTTCCTTCCTTCCTTTCCTGCTTCCCTTCTTTCATTCCTTCCTTCCTTTCCTGCTTCCCTTCTTTCCTTCCTTCCTTTCTTGCTTCCTTTCTCTCCTTCCTTCCTTCCTTCATTCCTTCCTTCCTTTCCTGCTTCCCTTCTTTCCTTCCTTCCTTCCTTCCTTCCTTCCTTTCTTGTTTCCCTTCTCTCCTTCCTTCCTTCCTTCCTTTCCTGCTTCCCTTCTCTCCTTCCTTCCTTCCTTCCTTCCTTTTCTTTCCTTTATTTAAATTTCTTTTTGATGATTTAATTTTTTTTCGATGAATAATTTTTTTTGATGATAATTATTTTTTTTTTGATGGTCCTCCCCAATTGCAGCTAATTATCATTATTTAAGGATTATCTAGTCTAATATTGATCCAAATGTTGCTGTTGGATAAGGGGAATCTCGTACATCTGCAGCAATCTCCAGACTGGGATATGAGATTTGTGCCGTCATCCACATCACGCTGTGGTTTATCCAGTTCATTCCATCCATTTGTTCCACAGAAATATCAAATGACCAACTGAGATCGGATCAAATTCGATTTTCAATGGATTTCCCAGAAAAAATCAGGTGCAAAAAACAGATACCCTCTGGTAAATAAACATAGACCCTGGCAGTCATCGGGGTTGGAAGACTAGTTTCCATTAAAAATTGGTGATTTTCAGGGTCCAACTGCTAATTTACCAGAGGGTAGTTTGAAACCACCGTCATTTCATGGTGGCGTCAGTATCTGGGCCCGGCCCCTAACGGGGCTACCAAGGTGCCGCTGGGTAGGGCAGGTGCCATGCCAATCCAAAAACCATTCGCAAAGGTGTGGTCCTGGGATATCAGGGATCAACAAAAAGATCTACAGCATGGAGAAGCCACATGACTGGGGGTGTAACATATATATATATATATCATATCTAATCTAATCTTATCTGATCTTATCTGATCTAATCTAATCTAATCCAATCTAATCTAATCTATCTATCTCTCTCTCTATATATATATATATATATCTAATCTAATCTAATATAATCTAATCTAATCTAATCTATCTCTCTCTCTCTATATATATATATCTGTATGATTACATATTATGTGTATATATATATAGACATGTAATGACCTATATGAATCCATATGATATAGTTATATAAAATGGGATATAACAATAGCAAATCAATGGATATGACAGATCTCCACCAAGCTGGTGTTCCTTCTTCAAAGGCAAATGAGGATGGATCACAAACCATCCCGTACCCTGCTGTTCACACCCAAATAGCTGGTATATATATATATATATAATATTATTTCCACCAAATCTCAATTCTTGTGTCGTCGTCGTCGTCGTCGGGGCACTAAAAACCACGAAAGAAAATAAGCCCTTGTAATCTAAGAGTTTGCTATGGAAAACACTCATTCTTAACAGGCAAAACATCTACTTTCCGTGGCCATCATCATCTCCGGTAAATCATGACGACAAATGGTCCGTTTTCCATAGACTCATGAATTAGAGTGTAAATCCCATTCCATTCCCATTGTATCCCGGAATTTTCTGTTTCTCCTCCCATGATATCCGTTTACCCTCTGGTAATTTAACAGTTCGCTATTGAAAATGGCCATAGAAATAGTGAGTTTTCCCATTAAAAATGGTGATTTTCCATAGTTTTTTGTATGTTTACCAGAGGGTATATCCCCAGTAAAAACACCATGGATGGTTCATCTGCCGCGGCACATCCGAGGCTTGCCGTGTCAGGCCAAAACAGATCACGCCCGTGGCGGTCTTGGGACAACAGGCCACTCGCACCACGGAGTTACTGGCGGATCGCTGTGGCGACAGCGGGCCGTGTTGAAATTCCCCATGGGTTACCCTCCGGTGAACTAACATAGCAATGGAAAATCACCATTTTTAATGGGAAAACTCACTATAAATGGCCATTTTCAATAGCTATGTTAGTTTACCAGAGGGTACCCGACATGGTAAACATAGAAAAAACGGATGGGAAAATCACCACCTTTAATAGGCAAATCAACTATCAATGGGCCATTTTCAATAGCTAAGTTAAATTACCAGAGGGTACAGCTAGAGAATCCCTGCAGTAGGTATATCTATAGGTTGTAGTTGTAATATTGCCCAAAAATAGGCAGGGTAGTCTGACCATAATATACGTATGTAATGTATTATCATGTAATGATCGCATAATGATATCCAGGTAAATATCCTGCTATAAAATACTATACTATACTATACCAGTAGTACCGCACAAGGCGGTGGCGGAAGTTTCAAAAATAGGAAACCTATAGGAGAAGTTGGTTGTTGTGAATCAGGGATGGCAGAGCGAAGCCACTGATTGACCGAAAGGTGGTTGGAGTTGTGTTTGCTGGAGTGGTTGCAATGGTTGCAGTGGTCACCTCGCCCACAACTGCTGGATGTAGTGTGATGTACTGCAACTGTAGTTGTAGTTGTAGCGTAGTGGAGTTGTAGTTGTGGTTTAATGTAATTAGTGTAGTGTAGTTGCAGTCATATAGTTGTAGCTGTAGTTGTTTTGTAGTTGTAGTTGTTTTGTAGTTGTAGTTGTTGTTGTTGTTGTAGTTGTAGCTGTAGTTGTTGTGTGGTTGTAGTTGTTGTGTAGTGTAGTTGTAGTAGTAGTTGTTGTAGTAGTTGTTGTAGTTGTTGTTGTTGTTGCTGTTGTTGTTGTCGCTGTTGTTGTTGTTGTTGTTGTTGTAGTTGTTGTGGTTGGTGTTGGTGTTGTTGTTGTTGTTGTTGCTGTTGCTGTTGCTGTTGTCGTCGAAGTTAGGGTAGTTAAGTTAGTGAAGTTAGTTAAGTTAGTCAAGTTAATCAGTGTCTACTTTTTCGACATCTTCACGCCAAAAAAGGCTCAAAACCCTCAGTTTTTTACACTTTTGACTTCGAAATGTGCTTCGCGCCACAACGGCGTGCACTTTTTCGACATCTCAACTTCCAAAAGTGGTCCGACCATGGTGTGCTTTGTACATTTTCACTTGGAAATGTGCTTCGCGCCACAACGGCGTGCACTTTTTCGACATCTCAACTTCCAAAAGTGGTCCGACCCTGGTGTGTTTTGTACATTTTGACTTGGAAATGTGCTTCGCGCCACAACGGCGTGCACTTTTTCGACATCGCAACTTCCAAAAGTGGTCCGAACCTGGTGTGTGTTTTGTACATTTGACTTGGAAATGTGCTTCGCGCCACAACGGCGTGCACTTTTTCGACATCTCAACTGCCAAAAGTGGCCCGGACCTGGTGTGTTTTGTACATTTTGACTTGGAAATGTGCTTCGCGCCACAACGGCGTGCACTTTTTCGACATCTCAACTTCCAAAAGTGGTCCGCTCCTCTAGTGTTTTGTCACTTTTCACTTGGAAATGTGCTTTGCGCCACAACGGCGTGCAATTTTTCCTCTCTCATCTGGCCAGCTGGCTCCGCACCCGCCGCTTTAGCGAGCCTACTTTTCGACCCTCCGGAGCCACAAATCATTGGAAAAACACAGTGAATCGCGACTTTCCTATCTTTTCGCGCATCTACATCTTCTTTCTTCTGATCTTTTCTCTTCTGACTCTTCTCACCTCTGCTTTTCAACTGTCCATATTGTCGGAAGTATAGCTTCTAAACTTCCTTCGACTATACTATACTATACTAAATGCACCATATCATACCATACCATACCATACTCTGTATGTATATATGTATTATGTATGTATGTAATGTAATGCAATGTTATGTTATGTTAAGTTATGTAATGTAAAGTAATGTAACGTAATGTAATGCAATGTAATGTAATGAAATGATATGTATGTATGTATGCATGCATATGCATGCAGGCATGGCATGGCATGGCATGGCATGGTATCTTATGTATGTTATGTTATGTGATGTATGTGATGTGATGTGATGTGATGTGATGTCATGTCATGTCATGTCATGTGTGTATGTATATCATTTACCCTCCGGTAATCAAACATGGGAAATCCACATTTTTTTTTGTTCGACGAAAATCCGAGCTTGAAACGTCCGTTGATAGGGGATTTTCCAGTGGCATCGCACCTCATAGAGGTGGCGTGGGCGTCGTAGCTGCGCTGCTGGCCGTCGGACTTGGAGATCTCGCCGTTGACCATCACCACGTTGGTCCAGAAGAAGTCCTGCGGTGCAACGCCACAAAAACAAATATTATGCAAATATTGAGATATCCCAGAATTTTCGTTGGTTAATCATCATTTTTCCCATGGTTACATGGCAACTTTGTGTGTTTTTTTTTGGCTAAACCCAGAAAATCCCATTACATCACCATTGGCCATCTTTAAGGGGATTGAAAATCACCACTGGGATGCCTATAAAATGGTGAATTGCCCATGAAATTACATCTGAACTTACCATAGATCCATAGATCGTTTTATGCAAATATACAACATTATATAACTATATCAACTATATCATTAAATCCAAACCATCTTTAAATCATATTAAATACCATTAAACCATCATTCAATCCCATCAAACTCAAAAAATAAAATCCCCATCAAATCACCAACGCCCCGTCAAAACCGTCTCGCCTCCTCTGGCACGGCTCGGAAGACCTCATCCACGTCGTGTTTGTCGATGATCACCTCTTCCTGACTGGTTTTTCTAGGTGAAAACATCAGGGGGTTCAATTTCAACACGGTTTTTTGATTGGGAAAAAGGATAGGACACACTTAGACTAGATTCTTGCTGGGAAAATTTAGAGGTTTGAATTGGGAACATATCGGAAAATTATCTATAAATTAGGGATTGAAGGCCGTAAATGGGATTGTGCCATCATTAGAAATGGTTATCAATGCTGGTAAATGGGGTTATGAAAAAACATCAATGGAAGGATAAGAGAGGGTTTTTTGATTTTGCCAGATTAGTGTTGCATTGAGAGACAACTGAAAACCTGGAGTTTAACCAGCAAAAATGGGGGCATCATCCATAGACACTGAATAATTAACGCAAACAAATGATCTCAACCAATAGATACATCAACAAAGATATCAATGTTGTGTGGATAATCCATAGAATTGGGGATATCGCCAGGAAACATGTAAGGAAAAACGTACCAACCAATGATGTTTCTTTTTTTTGCAACCCTTGGCCGGGCTGTGCATTCAAAATCCGGCCTGAACTGGTTCGATTGGTTCCTTCATTTTGGCCAAGTCATGCAAGGTCTTCTCCGTCATCGACTTGGAACTTCTCCTTGAACGCTGCGCATTTGAAGCGAGATGGGATACTCCAAAGACATGGAAGTAGGACGACATTGGACAACTGTTTACTGATTGTAGATGACATGGAAGAGGTGAGCTTGGATGCCCTGAAAAAGATATCCCTTTGTTTCGATTACATGACTCTTGGCGCCAAGGATTGAAGGAGTCTGTTTCATGGCTGCGCCATATTCGCATAGTGAACACCCTTGAACATCTGTAATCATTTAGCGGCAGGAAAGACGAGATCTCTTGCCTATTGAAGTTTCTTTTGGGGTCACACAAATAAGGTTGAACTGAACTATTTGTTGTTGTACGCATTTCTTGTCATGACGCCGCCGCAATGCAGGTCCAGTTTTCTTGGTTTCATCAACTGTGACTTAAACTTAAACCACCATTAAAAATCAAAAACCATCATTAAAACATATAAAACCCAAAGTTCACGGATCTCTCTCAACCTTTCCATCCCCGCGTGCCAGCTTCCTTTCGTATTTGCTCTGGGGCGGCAACATGGTGCCACTTCCTTGGCGACGACAAACCTCCCCTCCGCATGACCACATGACTGGACTGCTCCTGCTGCTGCTGCTGATGAGGATGATGATGATGACGATGATGATGATGACGATGACGACGACGATGATGACGATGATGACGATGATGATGATGATGATTATCATTATTATTACAAACATCTTCTGTATCATTATTGATATTCATCATCATCATCATGATGATGAGTGTTATTATTGTTGTGATTCTTTCAAACTCTTATCGGAAGAGTCCCCTATCATGATCCAATCTGATGTGGCCGTCCCAAGTCTTCCAGCATTTGAAACTTACCGTGGACCCAGCGCTATGATCCCACCAAACACTTGCTGCAAACCATCATTCATATCGTTTATTTGGCACACTTCCACATGTCCACTTTGTTCAGGTTGACTCAGGCTGACTTACTTCAATTGGAATTTGTGAAAGGAGTCTCAAACTTGCACTATCTTGCAATGTTCCTTGGGGAAACTGCTGATAAACCACCGTTTTTTTTTTGGGCCAATATTTCCATGGTCGACGCAAAAAATCATCCCCATCATCCCCGTGGCGCCGCAGTGTCTCAACGCATCCCAATCGAAGGCTTGAAACCTGGGGGATCTATGGCGGCACCTTGTGATTGGATCATTGGAAGATCTGGAAAAATCTGGGATAACTCCGGTAGATGTGGTAGATATATCATAGATATCATTCATTATCTATGGTTTATGGGGAATATCTGGGATAACACCAATAAGAATGAAGGAGATTCGTTACTATTGATATATAATGGGATATGTAACCAAAGATTGTGATTAGTAATTTTATGCAGATGCTTTTCCTCCGACAAAAAGGAATGAAAAGGTGGGGGTCGAATTGCCGAATATCTGATTTCCGCCGGAGTGTCAGTGGGTTTTGAGGCCGAAGACTGGTAATATAGGGAGACAACCAACTTGAGTGGGATAAGGACACTCGAATTTCGCACACACGGCTCCCAAGCCATGGAAAAAACAGGGGTTCAATCAGCATGAGGTTTTGGAGGGGTTGATGGTGAACAATTGCTGTACATACATTCTTGCTCCTTATTCTATGGGGGTTTCCTGTGGATCTTCCCTTGACAAATATATATATATAATATAATTAGCGTTGTCCAAGCATTAAGGCACCTCAGCCCCACAATATTAAATACCTAATAATAAAGAGCCCCAAATTGAATAGATCCAAAACTTAACCAGGGTTTTCAGGGGAGTATTTGAAACTGTATGGAAGGGATTAGCTGCAAATCCATTTGTTTATCATGATTACCATCCAGTTTAAATACATTTCTAAGGCCATGGGCTAGTGAATTCCCACCATCATTTATCAACTATATCCCCATAATTAGTAATGGGGACAAACCTCATAATAATCTGCTTTAATATGGCATATTAATAGTCACTATCTTTTTCTATCTTTCTGGTAGTCACTTTTTTATTGGATCTCCATCATTCCTGGAGAAATCTGCTCCAAGGGACCATTGATGCTCGCGACTCTTGGAACCCAAACGCCGATCCACGCTGGCACACATTAAATCCTCAGGGCTCCATGATTCAAGCAACTTCTCCCCGCAAGAAGGGTTGAGAAAACAAGGGAAATTCAACCAACAGCCAAAACAACCAACAACCACTAGCAAGTGCTGAACATGAAGCAGCAAAATCATTGGGGGGTTCACCTGTTGGACGGTTCGCTGAATCCCCACGTTTTGGGAAGCACATTTCGCCCAGGCGATGTATCCATCAAGGAGACACCCCCAACAGGTTTTTGCAGGATCTTGTAGATTGTAGCTGAACTTCACCTCATATTTTCATATATTTTCCATGTTTCCAACTACCGATTTGGGGGTTGCTGGATACATAGATACACAATCACAAACGTATGGGTTTGTCCAAATATGGGCTATGCCCCTACCCAAACATCACTTTTAATGAGACAATTGATAATCACCATTCTTTTCATAGCTCAATCAACTAGTCAACTATTTCTATGGCCATTGTCCAGTTCGCAAACTGTTAAAATACCAGAGGGTAACCGGGTAACCGCTCTTGGGGAGTACCCAAAAAATTCAGGCCTCAGGATCTGCCAAGATTCTATGGTGAAAGAAATGGCTGCCTAGCGCTTTTTTGAGCCCGGAAACATGGGTAAGTCCTTGGGATCATCCCGTTGAACATTGAAAAATGATGAAATTTATGTAGTTTGAAAGCACCAAGCACCAATTTCACCATGAAACTGAGATGGAAATATCGGTGGGATAGAGATTTTGAAGTGTGCGTTTTCAAACCTTGAGGGCAGTCAACATGTCGGGAATTGAGAGGACTCGAAGTGTGAAAATCTCGTCCCGTCGTCCCATGGGACGTTCATTTGCTGACGATTTTTGAGTTCAAATCACCTATCAGATCTATCAGATCTATCAGATAATATCAGATACCAAACCCCAAATCCCCCAAAAGTTCCCCAAAAGTTCCCCAAAATCCAAACAGTTGTGCTACCCAGCCATTGTCCCCTTTGTTCCCTTGCCTGCGGTGTTTCCTCGGTTTCCATGGCCACAGGATCATACCAGTGGAAAACCAAGCATATTTGAAACCGCCAAAGTGGCAATTTTCTTTCGTAACATCACCTTCCAAAATCTTCCAAACTTCGTTTTTTGGGGGCTTGATGCTGGGGTACTAGATTTCGACAGGAGGCACATCTATGTGGGAATCTGTCAAGATTGACACACATACACACACACGCACAACATGGGTAGATAAACATACCTTCCTTTCTTATCATTTTCAAGATACTCACCACATTACCAGATAACCATCTTTTACAATCGTTGTTCTGCAATACAGCTAGATACAGCTAGTATTGCTTGATTGCCAGCCCTTTTGTCGCCATCGCACCTGTTTCTGCTCTTCCCATGTTTTTGAGACACCAACGTATGGTCTTTTGCTTGGCAGTATGGCCAGTTCTAAGTCCCACTTCACGTATCCAATTTTACTTGGCTGTATGTCCAGTGGTATTCCCCGCTGTTGGTGGTTACATGGCCCACGTCCTTTGCCGTATTTCCCGCAGCTCTCACTATTTGTTGGTTGCGCAAACCACTGACCATCCATCATAAGACCATCTATATTTATATACTATTCCAGGGGCTCACAGACATCAGTCCCATAGAATCCCATTGTCAGATCTGCTATTGTTGTCTTTCTGATCCACCAAACATATCGCCAGTTGGGCAGTCAAACCTCCTGCTGAAGATTCCAAAACTTGAAAGAACTGTTCATTCACCACTTTTAGGATGCAAACAGTTTCGAATACAGTCCCAAAATCTAGCATTGACCCCGAAAAGGGTGCAAGAAAATCAACTCTCAGACCCATTCCTTGCAATCTTCATTCTCCCCCGTGGGAAACTTGGATCATCATTCCAAATAGGGTGGACCTTTGAAACATGATACAACATTTGATACAACTGGCAATCCACATGGATACACATCATGTTTTTTTTGGATACAACATCTTTGAAACCACCACTTCCCCATTTTTCATGGCATTTTCCATGGCATTTCCATGGGGATTGTCGGTTGCTTCAGCTCCTCAACCACTGGACAGGTTCAACCCAGAAGCGTTGGGAAGGTCCCGCTGCGGCAGGGGCTTCGCCTGGAAATCTGCTTCCGCAGAAGACTTACCCTGGCAGTGAAAAACCTGGTGGGATCGCCATCTAAGTAGTTGAATCAATGAAACAAATCCCATTGAGATGTGGCTGTGTCAAAACCTTATACCCCTGTAGTTCACATCAAAATAGCTGGCAAATGGATGTTCATCCCATTAAAAATGGTATTAATAGGTATTGATCCATACCCATGTAATGAAATATCGACCATTTTGGAGAACTTGGGGCCGGACGTGGGGCCGGAATGCCGTGACACGAGTAGGACAATCCAACAAAGATGGAAACATCGCCACCACAACTGGCGATTTCAAAGCTAATCATGGTGAATAAATACAACCTGATGTAACAACAACAACGACAACAACAACAACAACGACATCGGAACGGCTCAAACCCTCTTCACCTGGTGAACATCCAAGAGAATACACAGATGGTCTATGTAGTGTGACGAACAAACCAACTTTGGGATTTGGTATTTACCTATCATGACCTATTCCATCATGGTCTTGTGTCAAAATAAAGTAACTAATGGTAACTACCTCATTCCATCTGCTCGTTCATCATCTTCCCAATGTTTCTCTTCGCCATATCCTGTTTTTTTTCTTCACCATTTTCGAAGAGAAACCACTGACCACCATGTTACATCCACATTAATGTGGCAACGAACAATCAACCATCCTGTTCACTAACCATTCGGGGCTCATTTCACATCATCCCAAATACAAGTATGGCCAACAATATAGCCAACAATAAGCCTCTATTGGGCTTGGTGACCATTCCTGGATTTTATCACATCATTCCTATGATATTCCTTTCCCATTCCCATGATGTCCCATGATTTCGCTGGTATGATTTCCCCCATCCCCCATCTATAAATCCCAGTTTCTGATTGACTTGCCATGACCCCTCAACAAAGCACAATAAACAATCTCCACTTTTGATGTCATGTCATACATCCAATTCTAGATCCACATTCTCGAAATTAAAACATATGCACACCAGTTATACCCTCTGGTTATGTCAAAATAGCTATTTAAAATGGCTATTTATAGTGGATGTTCCCATTAAAAATGGTGATTTTCCATAGTTTTTTGTATGTTTACCAGAGGGTACCTGGGTTATCCCATGGATTTTCTCCTGCCATTGCATCATAGGGCGCCGTCCCGCACCCGCCTGCTGGTGACGGCGCACCGCAAAGGGCGCATTCGCCAAGTTGTCGCCGCCCATCCAGGGAGTTTGTCCGGACCTGGGAAATCTTGGGAAAATGCCCGTTTTTTTTGGGTCAGATTGGTTTAACCCCATATTTAATGGGAAAATCTATGGGAAAATCTATGGGAAAATCGATGGTTTCCGGTGAAGATTTTCCCGCAGAAACCAATCCATTGATTGGGTCAAAATGGCCCAAGTTCTTCAGAATTTCTATGGAGATGAGACAACAAGCACTTTGGTTTACTAAAAAAAAAGGGCTATCACTGGCAGACTTTGAGCTTCCCCTTGCAGTTATTTTGGAAGCCAAATCTCAAGATTGGTCGAATCTCCGGTTCGACACTTTTTCACCAGGTTTTTTCACATCGCACATGAAAAACTGTCGTGGGATATTTCACCAAGACATTTTCGTGAGATTTTCCCAGCAATCCCAAGCCCGGAATACCATCTACTGAATCCACACAACCTTTTACGCCCCGCAAAAAAAACACAATCTTATTCTATTTTTCCATGGGAATATTCAACATTATTCAACATTAATATCATGAATTCCTCATTCCGACCCATTTGTGTCTGAAAATGGGGTAAATCCAGCGGTTTGTCGCATTTTCCCAACAATGGTTATATGAGTCGGGTAATATCCCATGAAACATACCAATTCTATCATATATCTCAACGCTTCATATTTTAGATCCATAAGAAAACCCATTTCTGGTTGGTTTATGTGGTCTTTTTTATCTCCAAAAAGCCATCCATTTTAGCATCAGCGATTCTCCGGGGCGCAAGAGCTCAAAGGTCAGTACGCCCAGGGCCCACCAGTCCACCTTTGCAGATGGGCCAGTTTCAAACTGAGATGGGATGAGTTAGTGTGAAACATTGTGAAACCTAGATACATCTGTCGGCTGGAGATCATTGGCTTCACACTGAATCGAAGTTGTCAAGCTATTTGAACGCTGCCAAGTGCAGAATCTATGAGTTCACTATTCAGTGAACATGTAATCTAACCAAGGACCAAGCAAATCATATCAGCAACAATCTGTAGATGTAGATGTCGTATCCAATAATGTCCCGGGTCTGATAATCGGGTCCTGCACCCCAAAATCCATTGATTTACCATCATTTTCTCTATGAAAACAAATAACACACCCAGAAATCGAGGCTGTTGACCCCAATATTATCCCATGAAATATGCCCATTGCTTAATACCTCCATGTATGGTTGGTTACCTATCAACCATCAAAAAGTCTCTGCCCCAAAAAGGTCACAAAGGGACGGCCTTCTCATCGTGCTCATGTGGGAAGTCCAGGATCTCCGGTGCCATGTATTCCTTGCACCGAGGGATTGGCTGGGGAAATCGCAGGGAAACTCATGCAATTTCTGACCAACATCAGGACATCTCCAGAAATCCCATGAAGCAACTTTTTCACCAACTCATCAAAGTATCAGACTTTTTGGATATTTTTTGGGATCTAAGATTCGATTCATGAAACATCATGAAACCATGGCATAGCTCCGATATCCTATTCAGTGACAACGATGACAATGGCTGGGTGTGTTGGGTGTTGGGTGTGGTGAGTTCACTGCAAATTCCACATGGAAAAAAACGAGCGCTGGATGTCCATCCATCTTGGTTTGATCAATGTTTGATCCATCCCCAATGTCCATGTGTTGATCCATCCCATATAGAGATCTTCATATATTATTATCATCCCCATATAATCTTCACATATTATAATCCCATATGTAATCCCCTAATCAACCTTTATAGTTCCATTCCTATAAAGATATTGACGGACTCAACACCCGGTGAACGAAGCGCCGGCGATTGGTCAAGTCTCTGGCGTGCCGAGGAAGGTGTAGGTCTTGCTCAGGACGAATCGTGCAAAACCCAAGTCGCAGATCTTCGCGTAGCCCCTGGGGATACATCGCTTGTGGCGGCAAACTCAATGGCAATACGGCAATACGAATTCCACATAGAGAAGGAATTGACACTTGGTCAAAAAAATGATGGCGATATCGGGAGACCTTGGAATGGACGTGATACGGAGGTTGGGGGTTTGAACTCAACCTGAATACCCAATGATCCAAAAACACAGGATGGTATAGAAACATTCGAAACCACCCAACAGCTCATTGAAATAGTAGTCTTAGATGGCGGTGGTGCAAAACATGCAAAGATGCGAGGAAGACACACGCCACATTATTATGCTGGGCACAAAAGACTGCAAGCGGTGTAAGAATATGAAAAACAAAGTGCAGCGCATGCAACATGTTTTCTAAGCTAGATTTCCGGTCTCGTTACTCATTTTGCTCATTTTAATGGGAACAGCATAGTAAAGGTTAATTTGCACGCATTTTAAGAGGAAATTTGCGGCAACTCTGTGGCAAACAATGAAATTTCTGATTTCAGTGTGCCGGTTTTTGGTGTTAGCCCATTTGGAATAGCCGGAATAGCACATAAATCACCATGCTCATCTCCATCTTCTACCGTAGCAAAATATTCAATGCTTGCGTTCATAGCCCGATTCAATTCCCGATTCATATGGACAAAAGCATAGAGTACATGATGGGTTCATCATGGTTCATCTGACAATTTTGCATCCTCCAAAATCCCGGATGGCCTGTCATCAAGGAGCACATTGCCCGGCTTCAAATCACCTTGCTAATCCAGCCATCAGGACCATGAAATGTAAGATTTCAACTTCAATTCTGTTCAAAATAAGATGGGATTACCATCCCCACAACGACCATTGATTGAAAATCACACGTCCCAAGCGGAGATTAGTTTTCCAACCTTCCAAACCCCATTTAGACTGTAGTAAAAGTCGAAGGAGCGTCAGTTCTTTGAAAGATGGGGTTTATTTCTGCCAAGTTTTTGTAGGATTTCAGTGGGTTCCTTCGCTTCCCCAACATGACATGATCACATTTGCTCTCCTCGCCGCCTCAAAATGTTTTTTTTCATGCAACTGGATGTTCGCAACTACCATGTTTGCAGGAATTTGCAAGGTATGAAAGATGCGCAACAACCAGTTACAGTAGCTATGATTCATGATCAGCAAAGCAAACAAATTGATGATGATAAAAATCAATGGCCAACGTTCTACACGTTTTTGGAGTTCCTCGGGGCAAAATTTCTACCACTCTATAACCTTCTATTCGTTCTGCTTCTCCAACCATTTTGGATTGCTCATAACATCGGAACCTTGATATGGTAGATAAAACATCAACTTAGCATCAGATGAGACCCAGTTTCCAGATTGGGCAACGCCAATTACTGCTTGTTAGACTGGGGGATGGCTCCTGCTACCCATGGCACCAGCGGTTCCTCCATGAGGCACTGAATGGTTTTGACCAGCGTGGTCTTTGGCCCCCACAGGGCTGGAGCAATGGTGACCTCTGCAATAAGGGACCCTCTCTGCCTTGTTCGGCAGTGACGCAGGCTATCTAGATTGATCAGGCATTGTGAGGTTGATGGCACTTTGGAGCACCATGTATCTCCGCCATCAATGCCATCAACTGGTGTGATTTTGGCAGGCCAGGATGAACTGCCACCAGAGTACCCATGCCCGACCATCAAACATCATCAAACTCGCAACATTGAGCAGTGTTCTAAAACCCACAATGTCGACAATGTCATTCCATGAAATACTGGTTGGTTAAAAATGGGATTCCCATTGAATGGATTCTGATTAGTGGTTAGGCCCCACCAGGTTCTCCACCACCAAGCTTCCCACCTCGTCGTCCACGAAGTTCCGCAGCAGCTGATTTTGAAGCACTCCCCCTTTGAAGCATCGTTGGGAGCTTCAATTTGGAAATATCTTACAGCCCAGCCCAAGCTACTTATGTACTTTCAATGCATGCAGTGCACAGTGAAAAGTTATTGGCTCCCTCAGCATGAACGCACATGATGTTGGTGTGGAACTCAATGCGCCATCCAACCATCCACAGCAGCACCACGCCCAGGAGTTATTCCAGTCTGAGCCGCTTCCATTCGACATGTCGCGCACCATTTATGACTCTTTACAGCTCCAGTCATAGGTGCGGTCAAATACCTGCAGTTCTGGTTTGAATGGTACACGGTGCCATATTGTGTTGTGATCACTTCGAAGGGAATCTCAGGGCGAGGAGATGACTGTTGTGACGAAGTCGCATGCCCCAGCAGAGGATCGCCAGGAAGAGCTTGATCGAGCTCTATGCGCACCCTTCGTTCTTCTGCTTCAATCTAATTCCACTCCCTTTCGTAATCCACCATCGATGCATCATGCGCTCGTAGGAGTTCCAATGCTGTTTGGAAATCAACTGCTGTTCGTGGGTTTGATGATTGTGCTTCTTCTGGTTGCGGAGCCACATTGATTGACTCAGCTGGCAGCGGAGCATCTTGAGCTGGATGCGGAGCATCTTGTGGAGCTTGGACAACATCACTCGAGCTCGGCCCTGACGAAGAGCTAGGCAGATCTCCTTGGGAGACCCCCTTCTTTTCGTTCTTCGCAGCTTTCATGGGCGTCTCCCAGGTTGAGCCACAACACGCTGTCGCATGAACGCAACCCCCCGCACTGCTGCATCCCAGGGAGTCGCTGCGCGGCCAAGGTGAGAACGATGATGGCCAAGGTGTAGATCAAAATGACTTCAAAAGAAAATGCTTCTTCCGCTTCTTGCTCTTCCTCCGCTTTGGTGACTGCAATTGACGCAGCCAAGGTGATCAGCCGTAGGGCCTGAGCTGTTTTTGCCAGGCGCTTCTTTTCTTTGTTGGCCAGCTGGCCGTCCTGTTCTTTCTTTTCTTCTTTCTTCTCTCCTTCTTTTCTTTCTTTTCCTTCTTCAACCTCAACTTCACTTTTACTTTCTAACTTCCCCATGCCCATGCAAACCTTCAGAAACTCAAAACGTGCTGCAGTCAGTGGCTTCGTTCCAATGTCAGCCACCATGAACTCACCTGGAACGTGTTGGAGAGTCCATTCACCTGCAGACACTGACTGTCTTGCGTATGCAGCTCGAAGACGCAAGTGACGTGTGCGCCAACTGCCACCGTCACCCGTCAGGATTGACAAGGCCGGCATGTTGTCAGTCTTCAGGACCTTGGGAACGTCAGGAAAAACTTCTTGTAAGATCACATGGATGCTTTCACCAGCCACCATGCCCTCGATAATGTCAGTGAGCTCAGCTTCAGCCGTAGATAATGTGACAAAACCTTGTCGGCCAGACCTCCAAAAAACTGGAGAAGAGCCCCAAAGGACAACGAAGGAGCCATGGCTTTCCTCAGAGCCAGGTGCAAATGAAGCACCTGTGAACAACAACAGGTCGGCAACTATCGGTTCGACCAATAGCAGCCAGTCTCCAAGAATCAGCGGCCCTTGTTGAGGCTCCCAAGCAGCAAGGAGTGGAAGATCAGGTGAGCCAGAGCGGATCGTTTCCACACCTCGTACAACTCCTGTTTCTTCTTTTCCTTCGTTCATTATTTTCTGCATTTCTTTCATAGGTTCCATCATCAATGCCATAAACTCCATGGATTTTTCAGTGAAGCTTGAATCACCACCACCTTTGGCTCTTTGTCCAGGGGGGTCTGCGGCCTCCTTGGTGGTCTCAGCCTGTCCTGGGTTCTGCGGTGGAGGTCTAGCAGCCTCCTTTGGGCTTTGGCAACCTAGGTATGCGGATTGAGGTCTAGCAGCCTCCTTTGATATTTCAATTTTCTTGTTGGTGGCATCTGGGGTTGAAAACTTTGGCTCATCCTCTTGACGAGGTCTTTCTAAAGCTTCCAAACGTCCTTTCAGCTTTTGATTCTTCTCTTCCATCATCATTTCTAAATTTCTTTCAAGCTCTGCGTTTTCATGAAAACCAGGTGATTGAACATATGGATCGAAAACTGGAGGTTGTTCCCCAATATTTCTTTGACCCTGCGCCTACGCTCTTCATGCTCCAGAAACAAAGGACGTGCTAATGGAGGTTGCATCGGCAGTTGGGGCATCATCATCAGTCCACCTGGCTATAGCCAAGGAGCTTGGCTAAAAAGTTCATGAAAATGCTGTACTTGTTGTTCATCAAAAAAAGGTGCATTCGGAGAGATCGCAGCACTGGTTGGTGCCGGAGTTGTAGAAGAGGGATCACCAGGATGTTGAGGTCCATTGGAAACACCCTGCACATTCTGTTCCACCATTGGGACAGCCTGCACATTCTATTCCACCTTCGGCGCATTCACGTCCATCACGGCTGGAACAACTGCTCCTTGAGATTCAGAAGGCGTCCCAAGAGCAGGTGCTGGCGTCTTTGGTTCTGATTTCACCTGAACAGGAAGCCACCTTAGTCTCTGCTGGCTTCACCTAAGGTGCAGCCTGGACAGGTAACGGAGGTGCAAAGGACTTCGGGGAACTTGCATGCTTTTCCTCACTTCCATCAGCATCTTTCACCCTTTGGGAGGCTTTGGGGGACTCAAAGCTATCAGTTCCTTCAGGCTCTTTGACATCCTCAATTGGTTTTTCATCCCTTTTTTCTGTTTATTCTTCTAAACGCTTCTGGGCAGCTAACATCTCGCGTTCACCTTGAGCGAGTTCTTCAGGGGTTGCTCTCCTGCGGCTAAACATGGATGTAGTTGCGCTTCAAAGGCCACGCTGTGAACCTAGTGGTTAGGCCCCACCAGGTTCTCCACCACCAAGCTTCCCACCTCGTCGTCCACGAAGTTCCGCAGCAGCTGATTTTCGCCAGACGCTTGTTACAGTAGCAGCTGGGAATTACAGGTTGAATTGAAACATGTATGGGTGAATGCTTTGGCAAATGGTCAACTGTCAGCACTGATAATCCCCAATACATTGGGTAGTATAACTTCCTTCAACAACCAACAGGGGCTGAACGCAGCCACTGCCCAGTTTTTTTTTGCGTGGTCCAACAAATGGGATTTACATCAACCTACAGACACACTCATATCGCATATCTTGAGACAAATCCATACATTCTTGATTGTAGCACGCCACTACATCTCAATTACGCTTGGCCTTGTCACCTGTGGTTCCCCTGTTTGTCTCCCCATTCTCCCCAAATTCATGGTGAGCGATGTGGCTCATGGAAAAATCCCACCATTCCATGGTATGTCATGTCACTGGTTTAGTTGAAGGCAGAAAACGTGCACAATTCACCAGTCGCACATGTTCCGCCAATTTCTGAGATGATCTCAACCAGATGTCAATCCATTATGGAATTGCTAGTTACAGCAGTCGATTGATCGAACACCATGAAATTCCATATCATTTTGCAAATTTACTGCAGGGAATTTACGTATCAAGTCACTATAGTAGGTAATCACTTGCATACATATCATTAAAGTTAAAAGTATTTATCATAACTGCCCTATTTTAAGATCATTAATATTCATTAATCACTTGCAGCAATCACATCCTCAGTGAGGCTGTGAGGCTGTACGGCTCGACGCCATGGCACGGTGTGCGATCTTCCGCTCGTGCAAGTGGCTCAAGCCTTCGATGATGCATCCCACGTAGAACATCACGTCCTCGACTCGGGACTGGTCACATGTCAAAACTGGGGTGAACATGGCTTCATTACCCATACTGCTGCTCAATTTGGATCAGCATTGGGTGAGAAAAAATGGGATAGCCTCCGAAAGAGTTTGACCCTAAGGATCGATGAGTTTTAGAAGTCTTCCGGACCACTTTATACGGCAGGACCTATATTTCCCATTCGTCATATATACGAATATCGGCGGTCCCATTGTTTTAGGGCATGTACCATTGACAAAATCATTTACTACGGTGTAAACAACAAAATCGGAAATCTTCCAACCACCCGCCAGAAACTGTGGTTCTGTAGTGGATCTATCCATGACTCGGGTCAGTTTCTCTCCAGTGGGATTGTCACCATGGGGAATCTCTGGGAACTCCAATTTTAACGCCGCGACAGCCATGAAAAAATCTGGCTTTTGGGTTGGACAACCCCCTCATCATCCCATAGTGGTATCCCAACAAAAAAACCGGAGATGGTTACCCCATGAAATTCTGCCATCTGGTAACCAAACATGGAAAATCTCCCATTTTCGATGTTTCTCCCTCCAAAACCTCCATTTTTAGGGGAAAACATCTAGCCATCGAGTTTTGAAGCCAGCGTCCTGAGACCATGTCTTCATGTTTCTCTGCCTGGCTCGGGAACAAATCACCTGGCGCGAGCGTTTCCCTGGCGAAAAGTGCTTTTCGGTGGTTCCTCTATGTGGGCAGGGCCGTTGAAAGAGCAAATTGCAATACTTAAAAAACAAATAGGGTGAGGTCACTACGAACCAACAACAGCTGTAGGTTACAACGTGTTCTCTTCCAGTTCCACGAGTTCCATGGACAATGTTTAAATTTGCCAGGAACCATACACTGGCACCATCCCCGGTACGTGTATAATGTGGGCAACTCAATAATACACCTATCCTTTGGGGATGGTGAACAAACCACCCATATTTGGTGATGACTTGGGGATGGTGACTATTGTTAGGTTTACCACATTACCAAATTTCATAGACTACTACTTACTATTGGGGATGATGACTATTGTTGTGGATCCCACATGAAAATCAAAGATCTGTTCAGTACTTTTTCAAGATCCCCAAAGGAAAACATGATTGTGATGGTTAGTTGAGTTTGCGACATTGCTCTCCGTACAGGGTTGTCTAAAAGTGTACCCTTAAAATCAAATGGTGTATAAATGTGCCATGAAGTGGGGGTATACCCCATTTCAGACCTCATCCGTATAATCACAATCGTTGGTGACATATCCCATTATATCCCAGTTGTATCTCAATTCAATACCAATTCAATACATCCAAGTATATACCACTTACGTACACATCCATATCATATCATCATATATAATCCCTATATTTTGATAGTACTGTACATATTTAGGAACTTAACTATCGTTAATTCTCCCTTTTTTGCTTACTGAGAGTTCCAGTTGATATAGTACCTTTATGTACATCAAACATGGAGTTTAGATATGGGCCAAGTAACTGTAGATAAAGGGGATATTTAGTTGATAGAGTTCCAGTTACCCTCTGGTAAACATACAAAAAACTATGGGAAAATCACCATTTTATAGCTGGGAAAATCCACTATTTCTATGCCCATTTTACCAGGCCGGGTACTCCAACATCGCCGAGGCGCATCTTCTAAGCAGCCGCCTTCGGCGGCTTCAATGAGCATGTACCTTGGATGGATTTTTCTGGGAAACGATGGTGAAAAAACCGTTTTTTTTTTTTTTACCATAGAACATGAAGGATTTCACGAGGAAAAGGGGGATTTAACATGATTCAATTTGATTCAATTAGGAAAAAGGACGATTCTTTGGGATATACATGGTGGTGCCCCAGGTTCTTATCTGAGTTGGTTGGAATAAGTAGGTGATGTATTGGGTTTATAGTAGAATGTAGATATATCTGCAGCTAGCTCGTTTTTAATGGGAAGACTGCCCCAAAATGACAGTTTGGTGCTGAGAACCAGCATTTTTTTGAAATAACAAATTGTCTTCCAATCATTTCCAATCCATCAATCCCCTATCTGGCAGGGTTGCACGGTTTATGTTGGAGGGATGGTATACCTTTGAGATACAGCAACTTGGGATTTTGATCCAATGATATTCCAATGAGTGCTTGCCAAGGGGACACAAAAAGCGCATCGCGATAGGAGGCGTGCAGGTGTACGATGAAGGGGCTGTTGACCATGGCATGCAGATTTCGTTCATTTCCTTGGCAGGTCAGGATGAGATTTTGGATCCGTCGAAAATGAACCCACCTGATTTTGTTCTTCATTGCAATGGCAGTCCAAACCCACCCCGTTCAGCCCATAGCCCATAGCTGGGATGAATGTTCATCCACGCGTCGAATCTGAATCTCCACGCCGGTTGAGCGGATGCCTGCAGCGAAAAAAACAATCGCCAAAAGGTGATGTGGAGTGGATGGTTTCTGTGCTCCAAAAATGCCGGATTTTTTGGATGATTTGACCGTATTATCATATTATCCAAAAACATGAATTGTCAAGTCGTTTGGGGACAAATGCAACAATCGTCACACATCGATCAGTGAGAACTGGTAGCAAATTCAGAACATTAGGAGTGAACTTCCGACTGTCAAAAAGGGCATAGTTCTTTCAACCCACTGGGAGCGGGCTGTCAAGCGGAACAATCTGTTTTGTCTTTGTGAACTAAGCCAACTTGCTTTCCTCCATCTCTCAAACAGTCAGTTTCTCGTTGTTTCACATGGATTCCTGTTGATGATCCCCAGAATATTGATCCCCGAACTACTCATCAACCAACAGGGACTTCTGATCATGTTCCGCACCTCGTTTGGAAATTTGCTTCAAGGCATACTTTTCCTGTGTCACTGGATCTTCTTGCAGAAACACCTGGCGACTCGGTCAGTTGATCCCCAGTTGATCCCCAGTGACCAGTTCAATCCCTGAAATCACTGAATTCTCTCAATTTTGCTTGGGATTTTGAGAAAATTCCCGGGATTTTCCGAAGAATTGAACCCTAGACATGACACTGTCTAACGACACTTTTACGATTTGCTCATGACCGGAAAACCATGGAAAAACCCACATTCATATCTGGTGGTACCTGGGATCACAATACCAGGCACCCCAGTTGGAGGTCTATGGTAGATCCAGTTGTCAAATCACTTCTGAGATGAACCTTTTTAGGTCGTCCCAAGATGGTGACAATGATGACACCATGGGCAACTGATTGGGATCTAACATCCTTTTAGACAGTTTTGTTATTGGGATTATTGGTGCTAACCAATCATTTATTTTGGGCCCCTTGTAAAAAGCTTCGGTTGATCATATTTTGGCAACTGGATTCATTCCCCAGTTGCCAAATTCATATCCCTCTGATAAGGCTTCCGATTATGGGGGATAATCATCAGCATTGATGCAGGTAAAACCACACAAAAAGGACTAAACATTTTACATATCATTTCCTCATATTCCACAACTTTATCCATTTATTACCCATATCACCCGTATCCATCTATCCAATATTTATTGCATTTATATCTAATGGCTTTATATATCTGTGACTACCGGAGGGTATATCCATTCATGTCCTACTATTGTTCGTTCCATTATTATCCCTATTCATATCCAATATCCCTAAACCATATCAAAACCACATTCACCAACCATCTTGTATGTTGGTTTTCAGCAATAGTATTCAATAGTAAACCACCAATTTCACCATATTTCACCATGTTGATGGGTGGTATACCCTCTGGTAAACAGCCACATAACTATGGAACATCACCATGAAAAGCTGGGAAAACTCACTATTTCAATGATCATTTTCTATGTCGCTTTTTCTATGTTTACCAGGCCGGGTATAACATCCATTTTCCTATGGGTTTTCCTATGGTTTTCCCATTAAAACCTCCATTTTCCTATGGTATAACCATCACATCCCACTTCTCCCTCGCTGGAGCCGCTGGACTCGCCGCGCCTTGCCGAAGGCTCCTTCGCCCAAGACCCGGACGCAGCGCAGGCGTGTGACGTCCACCGCGTAACGCTCCTGGAGCAGTAAGCATCACATGTAGCTTTAATATATAGGCCTTTATAATAAGATATTTGTATGATAGGGGTATATGAATATTGCTATATATATATTACCATAGGAATAATATACTATGGATATATATATATAGGTATATATCTGGTAACCCAACAGGGAAAGATCCGAAAGTAAATGCCACCGACACAGTGATATATTCTTATTTATTTGGATTACTATATATATATATATTATATATATATATATTTATAATTATATATATAGATACGCATATCATGGTTGTATGCATATCATATTTCCCAAACATGGATATAACACGGGATAGAATGGGATATTGTCAATGGACATCATATGGATGTAGTTTCAACAACGAAACATCCAGGAACCACTTAGGATTCCTTAGGATGCACATAGAATTGTGGTACTTGGACAATGGGAGATCCATGGATATTCCATGGGAATGTGAACGGAGGATGCCAACTTGAAGGCTATCGCCTTGCAGGCCATGTCGAAGAAATTGTAGGGTACCTACAGTAATTCATGATAAATATCATTTCCCCAGTTGCATTCAGATTTCGCATTGCCAGGTTTGATTTTCAGAACCATCTGGTGTCATCAAACATAGCTGGAAAATCCATCATTTAGTTCAATGATTTTCCCATTTTTCAATGCCCATTGAACCACTCCAGTATCATGAAACATAGCTGGGAAATCCTCCTATATAAATGGAGGTCCCAACGGGAAAATCATCTGAATAATCATGGGCCATATTGAAGGCTATGGATAATTCAACCATGGGACAAACTTGTGGGAGATTTCCCCTGTTTGAGCCACTCCACAGCGGCACCTGCCAGCCTTTGGGCTTCAGGGAGCACACATCCTGCGTATGATTTCATGGGAATATCATGGTCGTTGGGCATATACCCTCTGGTAAACATACAAAAAACTATGGGAAAATCCACCATTTTATAGCTGGGTAAATCAACTATTTCGACTGGGCCATTTTCAATGTCGCTTTTCCATGTTTACCAGAGGGTACTTGCTATGTAATGGGAGTATCTCATCCCAAATTCTGGTCTATTTTGCTCAGAGATATATATCTGGGTGGAGAACTTGTCCAGGAAATCGCCTTCGAGTCGTTTCCTGTGATTTCCAATGCCGGTGGGGATCCGATCTTTCCATGGCCCATTGGGGCCGGGGGATCCAACGGATTAGGGTTATGGGATGCCAATATGACATCCCGTCATGTTATCACCGCTACCTTTTCACCCCGTTTGCTGATGGTTAAATATGTTAAATGCTCTTGTTGGCCAAGCCCTTCTTCATTAGTTAAATCACTTTTGTTTCTGATTGCATGGGTTCAATCTGATAGGGTGCCCCAATATCCACCTGATCTATCATAGTCTTTCCCCCTAAGACACAATTTTTGAGTACCCCTCCCATCCCATTTTTTGAACTAAACCACATCATACTGTTGGCTATACCCACTATATCCCCATTACATATCATTATATATATATATCCTCGTTAATCATGGCTGGTTTAAGAGCAAGGTTTCTGGAAAAAACATCATCCCCATATTTGAAAAATCAATGATGAGGATGTTAAGAATCAAACCGTTTCAGTTTAATCTAGTTGAGTGCCCATAATTCATTGCCCCATTATCAAACCCGCAACATCCCAATATGTGCCACAGTTTTAAGCCTTCTATCCCAATATTGGCAGTCAAAACTCTGGTCCCAAAATAGCTTGTGGATCTTCATCTTCATTCAATGGGAATTTAAGGATCCATTTTAATGGAGGTACGTAAACGTACCATATTCTTGGCCATATTTTGTGGGGATATTCCCTGAAACATAGGCCTAAAAAATCAGCTCAGCTTTTCATCAGCTTTTTCCTCCGGATTTCCTGGTGATTTTGGCCCCTTTCGGCCTGGTCCATTTGTTCCAGGCCCGCAAGGGATTCCAGACCGAAGGAGGCCAACAACTCCAGATCAATGCCTGGTGAAGTTTGTTTCCCGGAATCCCTGGAAGTATGGGTGATAAAAATGGTGATAAAACTATCTGGAACATCCATGAGGTCAAGAAATTAGACGAAATATACGTGGATATAATCCTTGGATATCCTTGGATATCCTGAGCGAATGACTAGATTACATGGGCTAGACTTTTCTGAAACAAACATCATCAAGCTTGAGCAAAACAGGAGGGTTTCAACATGATCCTTTTCCCTCAAATATGAAATACTCACAACCAAATGAAACTCATTTAGAAGGTGTTGGTTTTGGCCGTGGACTGAATGAACCCTGTATTTGGGGGGATTAAGTTGTCATACATAGATAAAGACAGTGAGATTCTCAATAAAATGTACAAAACTGAGAATGGTTGGATGAGTGCAACCAGGGGTACAGTCAACAAGCACGTGCATGTAATCATCAATTTCGAGAGTGGGCCAGAGTGGGCACCCCAAGCAAAACTGATGCACATGACCACCCAGAAAGGTTAACAGCGGAACGACAATGGGTATAGTTACGGCATAACCAATAGCCGAACCACTAGAAACATGGTCAACCATTTTCTTTGAGCATCCCATCACTTGGACAATTCCATCACCCACTGGTTGGTGGCTTTTCATTACCCTTTACAGCAACCCCCCTGCACAAAAATGGAAAAGTACCCTCTGGTTATTTAACATAGCCATGGAAAATCACAATTCTTAATAGGTAAATCATCTATTTCTATGGGCCATCTATACCATGGCTATGTTAAATAACCACGTTTCCTTTTGGGGGGGATTACCATATATCCCGTTCACACATGTTCACACCGTTTCTGTGGCATCTCCATCCCAGATACAAAGGCAAAGCAACCCATCGGGGCCTGGGAGCCGTTGGTGATGACTAGGGATCAAAAACTCCGGTATCTGGTTTGCACAAACCAACTGGTGGTCATAGATGATTCTTCTCCCATATGTATATGTATATATATATATACATACTGGTTGGTGGTTTCAACCCCCCTGAAAAATATTAGTCAGATTGGATCATCATACCAACTATTGGGGAAAATAAAAAATGTTCTAAACAACCAACCAGTATATATATATATACAATATATACATTAATAAATATTGTAGTATGAACATGGAATTTCACTGGCTTTGATCCATCTGCATATGGCAACTTTGTTGACATCGCATTACTCCCTAGCTCTTGCTGATTGATGGTTCCATTACCAAAAAATGACATGCCCCGAAACAAACAGTTTTCCAAAAATACGCGTAAAGAAGTGACTACAGTGGAAGATGACCAAATGGGGAAATGCACCCAACTAGCAACAAAACCTGGTAACAATCATCTAAATTACCAATCTGGAACTGGTAAGAAACCCACCATTTATTTGTTCATTTCCTTCAGAAAACCAGCAGGATTTCCGTAGGGATTGATGTTGATTCCCTAGCACGCCTGCAGTCACGGTGGAGGGGTTGCAACTGTCATTACGCCACGCGGAGCGTTCGCCAAAGTAATCCCCGCGATGCAGGGTGGCCAAGAGCTTCCTAGGGGCAGTCGGATAAAATTTTTTGGGATATCAGTGACATTTCCCATGTAGGGAAATTTCATGAGAAATAATAAGTAACAAAACGGGGAAATAATGGGGACATCATGGGATATACTTCATGTATAATGGGGATATAATGGGACCTACCAAACTAATGGAGTTTGTAGATGAGAGATAAATGAGGATAAGTTGGTATATAGCCGCATCGAACTAATTAGTTCGATCTATCATAATCCCAACTTTGATTTTTAACCAACTTCTAAACATACTTTGCTAAGTAGGGGGGGCCCTCCTGTAGGTTGTAATTAATGCGGCAAACCCAAAATAAGCCACCAATTTCACGAGAAATTCGTGGCTTTTGATCCCTCCAAAAACGGAGGCTTGTTGTTGGCCATTAAAGACCAATGACACACAATTAACCATTCACATTAATATAACCACGAACAACCATTAATAACTATTAATTACTGAATGAATAACGCAATAATAGGGCATTTCGCAATAACAGCTAGTAATGAAACAACATGAATCATCGTCAATAACGACTAAACACTACATAACCATTAAAAGGTATTCAGCAATACTCTCTGGTAATACAACATGAATAAACATTACTGATGACCATTAATGACCATTAATTTGTATATTCACCCAAAATTACTTTTATATCGGAGTGTCCGCAGAAGGAATATCCCCAAATGGAATGAGGAAATCATGATCAAACCAAATTTGGCTGCTTTCCACTAAATTTTCAGACAAAACCATATATCAATAACCATTGATATATTCGTATATTCCCATCACAGTTCCATGATATTTCCATTATATCCCCCATCATATCCTCCTATCCCCATCAAAAACACGAGTCCTGCCCTCAGGTAATTCAACACGAAATTGGTCAAAATTTGTACATCAACATCGCCATGTTCAGAGTTGGTAAATCATCTAATTTTCAATAGCTAACAATCCCATGAAAAATATTGCTATGTTATCTAAAATCCCACTAAAAATCCCATAATTCTGGATTATGGATGATTAATTACGTATAAACATGTTATAACATACTATCAAATCCCATTAACTACCAAAAAAACCTATGGTATGAATCCCCTTTGTATCCCATGAAACCACCAGACTTCCCAGAGGGTTCCCCCCATCAGCTTCACCGTAAAGAAAAGTGCCAAAAAGTGACCCTCCTTTGGAGACCAACGCGCTTCCGCGCTTCACGATGTACCACTGCGGTGTGCGACGCTGGCGCCCTTCCTGTTGGGTGGGGCGGTTAAACCATATGAAACATGAAGGAAGAGAATGGCACCGATGGGCTTGTGTATCAAGTATATACCACCATGTTATTCCCAAGTTCTTAACCCATTTTATGATGGTAACAATCCCAATGATACCATCATATCCATCATGTTCCTGGGAGCCCTGGGAGCCTCGGGCCGGCCTGGAGGACAACATGCCCAGGCTGGAAGGAGTTCTCCCCAGTGGCATTGCGCGCCAGCTCCTGCCTGATCCGAAAAAAAATGGTGGGGATGAATCCAGCGCCAGGCGACGACCAAATGCCCATGTTTTTTCAACATGAGAAGAGGGTTGACCGGGTTGACCCCCAACATATCCAACCCCAAAATATCCAAAATGTATTCGGAAATTCCATGTAAATTCCATGAGGGTCCATTCCCTCGCCTTTCAGAGTCCAGCAGGGAACACAGCACTCGAACTTCCCCCAGCAGAGTACACCAACGCCTCGGCGAATCACCAGCTGGAACTTGTGCTGGAAATCTCCATATATTTTTGTTGGTGAATGGATGGTTAATGGATGGTTTCCAGTAATATGGTTAATGGATGGTTAATGGATGGTTAATGATGGTTAATGATGGTTAATCAACTGTCCATAATCTCCAAACGTCTTCGTTAATGATGGTTAATGATTGGTTACAGTAATTGTTGCTTATTTGTTGCTTATTTGTTGGGTATCTGACAAATTTGAGACTTCACAAACCTGAAATTGTCCCTTTTCCTTGGTGTTGTACGGTGGTTCCAGACACCATCATTGGGGACTTTGTTGGTCGGGAAGGTCCTGCTTTTTTGGGTTCCATTTGGGGATGCCTTCCAGTTGGCAACACCATTTTTGATCTGATCATTTTTGGTGACCAAATAACACATGAAACAAGTGGTAGACATAGAATCATGGACGTATCCCATGATTCAGGCATTGGAAAAGAAAAAAACCTCCATCTAGTTCGAAGATTTTCCCATATTTTCCCATTAAACACACATAAAACAACTCCGTTTAGTTGGAATATTTTCCAGCCACGTTTGACAGCGAAGGCTTCGGCTTCGTCGGATCCCAGCTATCAACGAGTGGCTCAAACTGTTCCTTCACCACTGTCCTGGACAGATCGGAAAGTTGGTGGGACATATCTGGACCTGGATCTTAATAGATACATGATATATATATATATATGTATATATGTATATATATATACATACACTGGTTGGTGGTTTGTTGGAAAAATAACACATGTTCCAAACCACCAACCAGGATATGTCCGGTATATGTCCAACTATATGATATAACCATGGTATTATTGCTAAATTATGCTAAATTCATGGACAGTAGATTCTAGATGTATGTATAGAAAATGATACGGAGCCAACGATATGGCCAACTATATAGCCAAAAATGGAACAGTAAAATCCTACTGAAAAGGTTTCGAGCTGATACCCGCGAAGGATTTTGTGGTTTTTGCATGGGTGGTGGGGGGCTAATAGCACCTGTTGGTTCTAATCCCCAAACATCTTTATCCGTTGATGGGAAAGCCGGTAAACCAATATGTCAGGAATGCCACATCTATTCTTAGCCTCCTGGGTTCCGACTGGTTACAGAATCAAACTTTCTCATCGCAACCTCTTTCACCCTGAACAATGTTTCTTTGTTGCTTCAGTAAAGTATAAAGCCTTCCCGGTGTCAGGGGGACTGCCCTCTGGTAATGCCATAGCTATGGAAACTCGCGATTTTTGATAGGTAAATCATCATTTTATCGTCTGAAAATGGGCCATGTTCCATAGATTTCCATAGATTTCCATAGCCCCCGCCTTGCAAAGCACGCTTTGAAGTCCGAGCGGTTAATGGCGTACCTTGCTGGACTTAACCACACCACTACACATTGTGTAGTGAACATGGGTTTTTCATGTTTTTCCTATCCGGGAAAAACAACAGAGACATTTTAGGTGCGCAACATAACTTCTATATCCCCCTAAGAAATAACCATAGTATACTTGGGGTGCAGCTCAAGGTAGTGGATAATAGTCATAAGGGCCCCATATGCTTAGATTATGACCATGGTTGTTACCAATTAATTATATGCCCAGTGCCGCACCAGCAAGTATGCTACAATTATTAGCATAAGTACACATATCATGTCTCCATTGAATGATAATGACATATCAACATTTTATTACTAATAATTACTAAAGCGCTGAAGGCGTGTTGGTAGTAGATCTTCTGAGATATCTGGCATACAAAGTAACCAAGAAGCAGGGAATAATTACTAATATCATGTCTCCATTGAATCATAATATATGATAATGACTAATATCCACATTTTCCTCGGATTTCCTCAGAATGAAGTCTATGGATATTACAGCGCCCCTAGTTCTATCGACTCAGCATCCTGTTGGGATCCAACACGAAACATTCCCAGTGGTTTAGGATGTTGCAACTGCAGGACCCCGGGACCCATTTCATGGTAAAACATGTAATTCAAAACATTTGCAAATTTACAAATCCATGGTTTCCAGTTTCCGATTTTCCTATCCAACCAATCCATATCAATCCAGCCAGAAGCATGCTACCCTCTGGTAATTTAACAGTTCGCTATTGAACATGGCCCAGTCGAAATAGTGAGTTTTCCCAGCTACAAAATGGTGGATCTTTCCATAGCTATGTGGCTGTTTACCATAGGGTATCCCAATAATATCCCATTAATATCCCATTAATACCCCCATGGGGATGGTATCTCCCATGGTATCCCCATGGTATCCCCAGCCCCAGCATTCCCCATGTCCCCTGCTGGGGACACCCTGGCTTCGCAACCAGGTCGCAGGATCACATCGGAGTCCGTGGCTCGAAAGGTGCCCAGATGTCGGGTGTTGCACAGCAACGAGATCTGGGCGGGTTTTGGCCGGTGACCCCGGTGGTGAGTCAATGGTTATAATCATTGGATATAGATAGATATATAGATATAGGTGTAAATTCAAACCTTGATGATCTATAGAATCTAATAATCATTGGTAAACATAGGGATATATAATCAATTGGTAAATCTATATCATTTTTTCTAAGGTAAATAATCATGGGTATACACCTATAATCATTAGATATAGATAGATATAGGCGATATAGGTGTAAATTCAAACCTTGATGATCTATATTCATTGGACATAGATTGGTGTCATATCTTATCAATGATGTGACAATGATGTGGGATATTGTACTGGCAGAAACATCCATACGTTCTCTCATTCAGAAAGGGTGTACAAAAAAAGCATAAGACAGTAAATGAACACAAAGTGTTTGTTGGGAGTTGCAGATACCCATCAAGTTAACATATATTGGGATATACACCCAGCAAAATGTTTATTAATGTGTGTAATGGCAAATCATTTATGACATGTGACATGGGTCGGTCTGGTGTTATAATTTGTCAGGCCAGGAAGATCATTAACATTGATGGTCCCCGTGAAATCCCAAGTCATCGATTTGTACGATGATTGTATTGGTGATTCATGAGCATCAATGTTAGATCCGCATTTCAAAACACAAGGATCTAGCTACAGGAACGATTGTTTTTTACCCGGCCTGGTAAACATACAAAAAACGACTATTGAAAATGGCCCAGTCGAAATCGTTGATTTGCCCATTAAAAAATTGATGGATCTTTCCATAGTTATGTGGCTGTTTACCAGAGGGTAAATCCTATTAATATCCCATTGAATCACTATAAAATTCCATGAAAAATCATTGTAAATCCCATGGTTTTCATTGATTTCCCATAGTTATGTTAGTTATTTACAGTTGATTTACCCATTAAAAATGGATAACCATGGTGATTTTCCATCGTTTTTTCCATAATTTACCAGAGTGTAACTCTTGAAATCCCTCGGAATCATCCGAGAATCCCAGGATTCACCAACAAACATTGGGTACCCAACATATATATATATATGTATATATATGTATATATTTATATACAGTAACCCCCAAAAAGATAGAAAGTTGTGTTTCCAGGATAGTATAGATGATATTTACCTCATATTTCCAGGTGGTACAACGGCTATTCATATCTATTTTGAGGTTGATATATATATATATGGGTAAATTATAATATTTCAATAACCTGAATCTTGCGGCCATTTGGGGATGATTTCCCTTATTAACCATGATTCCCTTATTAACCATGATATCGTTATAATTTACCCATATATATATAAATCCCATGTATCCGCCCAAATGTGGGATCCCAACTTATTCGACACGCGCCTCGCCAAAGACATCACCTGCCTTCATTTTCTGCACGTTTTCCTGGGTCCCCAATGGCTGGTTAAGCAATGACTATGGCAAGAATGTCTACTATTTTTAATGATCATTCAATGATAGGTGAATTAGCATTTTAGCTCAGGAAAATTATGCTCATATAATCTGTCGGTGTTGAACTGCCTACATGGCTTTTTGTGTGTCCGAGGTTTCCTGAAATAGTACCCCCAAATCATCATCCGATTTTCATGGATTTTCCATGAAATCAACCACCATTTTTCATGGTTAAACCATCCACGAAACCATCCAGCTATTGGGTCCCAGCCATGTATGGAAACCCCTTTCTGAAGTGGATTTGGACCCAGGGGCATCTTTGGCCAGGGCCAAATCGCAAGACCTGTGCCAGAATCGGACAACGCGATTTTGGAGGAAATCCATCTGAAATCGGAAAAACAACCATCATTTCTAGTGATTGAGCCACCAAGATGAACCATCTGCGTGCAGGTTTCCTCTATAATTAGTGTTTGAGATATTTTGTCAATAACTTGGACGGCATTTTAGGTCAAAGTGAACCAGGGAACTGGGGAGGGACCCCAGGGACCCCTTTCATCCTGTACTTTCCCGACTAACACGAATGAACTGTAATTGAGCAGTGGCAGAATCATGGATGCTTGTTGACTTGTTTTTTTTTTGTGGGTAAAAGGTGGCATGTGGTGTATCCCGCAGTTTTGAACAGACCACATTGGAGAGTTGAAGTATGTTTAAGTGCAATTTCTGAGTTTGTTTGGTTTGGAATGTAAAACGGACAGAAAGACTTGGGCATGCTTCAATTCAGCATGATGTACCAGCAAACACTGCGCTGACAGGGGGGCAAACCCACCCATCTCGGAATGTCATGAAATTCCAACCCCCCTTTGCAGGGTTGATTTGTCAGTGATGGTACCCTCTGGTAAACAGCCACATAACTCTGGAAAATCACCATTTTGTAGCTGGGAAAATCAACTAGAAACTGCCATTTTCAATGTCGCTTTTTGTATGTTTACCAGGCCGGGTACCCCCAAAAATGACCAACCTGTCACTGTCACCGTCTCCCAACCTGTAGATGTGTGTCCCCTTGGAGGGAAAGGTCACCACCACCCGCGAGCGATCCAGGATGGCCTGGCCAAATGCTGCAAAAGATTTCACGAGCCGCTGGGGATATTCCATGGGATATAACCAAATACCCTCTGGTAATTTAACATAGCTATTGAAAATGGCAATTTATAGTGGATTTTCCCATTGAAAATAGTGATTTTCCATAGTTATGTTAGTTTACCAGAGGGTAACCAAATATATCATTTGGGTTTGCCATTCTTTGCATATTTGTTTCAGGATTTTCAGGGGGTACCCAAATTTTGCTGCAATTTTCCTTGCGGAAAAATGGCTGATAAGCCAGTCCGGTTCTTGGATTGATTCTAACCAGCTGTCATGGCAACTGGGGCGACACATTAACACCAATCAAATAGGTAATACACGCACTTCATGCACACATATAAATACAGATGTGTACATCACGTATGTACTACGCATATGAGAAAATTATGTTCACACACAGGGTATGCATATGGCATGTATTTTTCATGCTGTGGCCTAGCTTGATTGATCCATTGCGTTGTGACACAGCGGAAAATATGCCCAGGGCCACGTTTTTCATGCATGTCACCTCTGCAGGTCTCAAGCAACAGAACTAGTCAGCTGGCACCACAAATAGTCGATGGTTTTGTCCAAAACTCGGGTAATTATTCCATTGTACTTCCCCAAAATCCATCAACATCCCATTCCCATCCCATTCCCATCCTTTTCCCATCCTTTTCCCCATGTTTCCAGACCCATCAGGGCGACTTCCACCGACCCCACCTGGACACGCCCCACTTCTGTGGACTCTTCACTCTTGGAGCGGAACGTCCATCCTGCGCTAGCACTGATGGGAAATCTTTGTGGATGATGGATGTATCAATAAAGCACACTACGAAAATAAGTGTAATATTATCAATACATACTACTCATACTACTCTATAATATTCATGACAATAAAATATACAATAATGATACAATAGATGACAATAGTATGCAGTGGCAGTATATAAAACGTGAGTCCCTTGAACACTTGTCACCAATCGAATCATGGATCCAAGGGATCCAAGGGATCGTTCCAGCGTCGTGAACCACGTCGTGAACCACGTCCTGTAGATGGGATCTCTCGGACTCGCTCTCCCACATAGAGCAGCTGCTCTCCTGGAAACCCACGGAGAGCAGGTGATTTCTTCATGGTATGGGAGAGATGGATATGGCATCGGATATGGGAATATTGATGTGTTTTTTTCTGGAAATTCTTTCCTTTTCCTCTTTTCCATTTTGTTTCGCAATCAGGATGTTTTGGCAAAAACAACAGAAATTTGGAGCATACCGACTCCTAGTAATGTAGAAATAAAGAATATAAACCTACCAAAATCAAGAAAATAAACCTAATCTTGTGGGGATATATTGGGGATGCACATAACCACTTATGGCTATGATGAGAACAACATGGAACAATCAGAAAAATCACCCGCATAACCCATCTGCCCAACAGAATTTCGGGTTGTCCTTGCGCAAAATGGTTTGTCAAAAAAGGTGGTGCCCCCAAACCCAATGTTCTAATCATTTCTTCCCTCATAGAAATATATACAGTTTCATTCAATTTCAAGGTGTTTTATCCATTTTGGACAAAAAACAACATGGTTCAAAATCGGCACTTCAAACTTGACAAACTACTCCAACCAAAACGGATATGTTTGCTAATTCATATATATATAGATACAAATAATAATATATCTACACAAAATCATATATGTATATATTCAATATACATAAAAAAAATATAACATATTGTAACATAACATAATATAATATTAATATTAATATTAATATTAATATTAAAATAATATAATAAAATATAATAGTATAATATAGTATAATATAGTATAATATAGTATAATATAGTATAATATAGTATAATATAGTATAGTATAGTATAATATAGTATAATAAAGTATAATATAGTATAATATAGTATAATATAGTATAATATAGCATAATATAGTATAATAGAGTATAATATAGTATAATATAGTATAATATAGTATAATATAGTATAATATAGTATAATATAGTATAATAGAGTATAATATAGTATAATAGAGTATAATATAGTATAATATAGTATAATATAGTATAATATAGTATAATATAGTATAATAAAATATGACAAAATAAACTATAATATAATAACAATATAAAAAATAATCATAAAAATACAACATAAAATAATTTAGTATAATAAAACAAGTTAATTTAGTCTATTTTTTTAAATTAACATAATTACACAAGTAATGCGCTAAAATATGCCATAATACGATTTAATATATTATTAATAACATATCAAATAACATTTCTTTCAAAAATATATAGTATAAAATAAAAAATCTAATATCAAAAATATAATATAAAAATATGAAAATTTAAATGTTATAAAAAAACAAAAACGCTATATATATAATAACATATATAATAAGTAAAAATAAATATAATATGTAATATATATATAGTATATGATGTAAAATAAATAAAACATTAAATATATAATATAAAAATACTAATCAAACAAATAAATTTAATATTAAAAAGTATACAAAATAAATTTAAAACAACAAAATATACAATAAATAAAAAATCAAATATATTATATACAATAAATGAAAATATACTAAATATAAAATAACATATTTATATATATATATAATAAAATAACATCTAAAAGTATAATATATAAAAATATATGTAAATAAATAAATAAATATATATATATAATATGAATATATGAAATATATATATCTAAAATATGTTTTAGATTATATCCCCAATCCGAAACACAATCCCTCCCAACCGCACCTAGAACATGCATGGTCTGTATCCGGAAACGTTTCAAATCCTGGCGTGTCGACAGGGAACTTCGGGGAGCTCGGTTACAGTCATGACCAAACAAAATCGGGATTTAATTGATCGGATTTAGTCGAATTAACTTCTTTATCAAACATGTTTCGGAAACTCATCCAACTAAATGGCATATATCTAACGAAATCCTCATCTGCTACCCACTGGTGTCATCAAACATAGCTGGTGTTTTGTTCTTTATTTGCTTGACAAAAACGCACAAGACATCAAATGGGGATTTAACCATATATGAACTGCGGATTTATTGTGATATCTTATGGGAGTATAATGGGATGTAAATGGGGGATGGATCAACAACAAATCGCGATACAAAAATTGCAATGGGAAATCCCCGACCTAAATGGGGTGTGAATTCGAAAACCATGCATGAATAGGAGATTTTCCATTGCTAGGCTGCATTTGAGTACGGGGGGGTGAACCATTCTTCCAATTCTACTAGAAATGGTTGATACAAAATATTTCCTCAATCAGAGGTTCATTATATTTAGTTTTGCCACTTCATGACAACTTGATCATAACACCATTCTTTGTTCGTTAACGCCCGTATCATTGGTTGCTGAAACCAGTGAATATCAACCAATTTTGGAAATCACCAATCTTACGCTATGCCAACTGCAATATAACACACGAGTTATCGAGATATTGGCCGCATCTACTTTACATATATGTTTCTGTTGGTTTGAGTCCAAGTAAAAACCATTCTTGCTCACACACTTGACATGGAAAAATCGCCGGTTTATACATAATTTCCCATTCAGTTTCACATGTTGTTCGGGGATTTCACATTGCCATGTTACATGTTTGATTGCTGGAGGGAAAGGCCGTAGACTCAATTCCCATACAGCCCATCATTGAAACTGAGGCGAAAAAGACCATCACCATTCGACGCACCATATCCCAATTTTTCATAGGCTTATACCAACGTGGCGTCAAATCTTGACATGGAATACAAGTCATGAAGAATGGGTGCATAGTGATGGGCAAATGCCGTGGCAAGTGCCAAAATGATTACAACCTAGATGCTCCATCCAAGATCGCAGTGTTCTTGATTATTCAATGGCCATTCTACACCAGTGTGGGGTATACCCCGCTTGCCCATCATTGTGTCCAACTGATCTCCCACATTTTATTCCCATAGTGCATCCAAATAATCACACATATGACCAATAAGAGGTTAACAGAATCCAGGATACATTTTAAACAATAGATACCTTACCAAATCATATTTCAAATTGCCAACCAATGAAACACATACCATTCCAATTTACCCCGCATTAAATGCAGTACAATATCTCCAGTACAGCACGATAATCATCAACACTACGAATATTTTTATTTCAAACTATTCCAAAATTAATCATTAATCACTGTCTTAACCAAACAACATCAACAACGATCAACCATTAGGAAGAGCTTTCATCAAGTATTTTAGAGTTTGGCAGCTATAAACAGCCATGGATGGAGATCAATGTAGACGCGCGCACGCCTCACAAGTCACCAGCTTCAAGATCTTCAAGTTTTTCTCGTCAGAGAAGGAAGTCCACGTCACGTTCTGAGAAAGCATCATTTGGATGTCTTCCAAGGCTGCTTTGCCTCGCATGTCTGTAAGAGGCAAGGGCCTGCAAGACAGTCTGCAAGCCAGGTAAGTCGACGTCCATTCCGAAAGGGGCAACTAGCTTCTTTAGATAAAGCAAGTTGAGCAGTGTCCAAAGCCTCTATCGCCCTTTTATACTGGTAGTAGGTTCATAAGGAATTCGAATAGTGGACTGTGATAATCACGTAGGCTTGTCCGCAGGCATGTCATCTTGGGAAGCCCAGCCTTCCCCCCTCACTGATCCGCAAGGCTCATGGAGTCCACGTAAAGCCCAAGCAAATTCGCTGAAACAGTTTCGCCCGTGTCTCAACCACATCAGCTAATAAAAAAGGGTGCCGGCGCTCAACTCTCATCCAACTCTCCCACAACACAGGCACAGCTGTGTGTAATCGATGAAGTTCGTGCTGTTCTGCCAAAGCATTGAAAATGTTCATTCCTCTCCTTCAACAGGTCGCAAAATCTCCTGCTATCCGTCTACTGTTTCCAAGGCTACACTTCGCGACTGCGAGCACAGCGGCGGCAGTCGCCCATGCACTAAACGAAGAAGGATGATGCAACAAAGTGCTTCACCGATAAATTCCATTTAAACTCTGGCCACCATTGCCGCCTCATGAATGAGACTTCCCATCTCCAAAAGTCTTCAGCTTTGCAATTAAACCGCTGAACAGTTTGCAGCGTAGCATGAAGTAGGTGAGCAAGTTGCAGCGTAGCATCAAATCAGTTTAGACGTAGATCCAAACGTTCTCAGCACCACACCCCGACACGACAGGGTGCGGGCCGGATCAGGGTCATTGGATCGGAATCCAAATAGGTCGGATCGGCGCGGCTGGATCCGAACCTACATGGGTTGGATCCGGACGGTGTAGATGGCAAACTTGCGGACTTCCCCCGACCATCCCGACCAGCCCGATTGTCCCTACTAAAGAAACCCTGAAAGAAACCCCCATCCCAACCGTACCGACCGTCCCAACCGACCATTTATCCACAATGTTGATCCAGGATCGTCTTTGACGCTGTTTCTGCGATGCTGATCCGGACCTTTGGATGTTGATTCAGGACGCTGCTCTGTGACACTGATCCGACTCGATGGTTTCTGATACGGAATTTTCTCCACCCCGACACCCCCCCGCCCAACCCCACACAAGCCCCTTGATCCCACAAGCATGCAACCTGGAAAAAACACGAGGAAACGTGGTGTAAAAACGCATTTACAAGGGGATTCACAAAGGCAAGTCGTGCGTTTTCATCTCCTTCGGAGGGAACAGCCATTAACAACTATCAGCAACTATTAATCATGGTTTTCATCATCCAGTCTCCCTTTCCACATCCGCATCCGCATCAGCTGTCGTCCTTATTGGGCCTGGACACTTTCTCTTCGATCCCTGATGCGGAATGGCCATCCATTTAGGGGATCATTTTGACCACCGGGGATGAGCAATTCAGCAATAGAAAAAAAACCAAACCATGGAAAACTTGTAGGATCTTGATGTTTTCGGCACCATCACCATCACCAGCCACATACCAATGAAGAACACAAGCACAATCGCGATGATGATGATGATGATGATGATGATGATGATGATGACGATGACGATGACGATGACGACGATGATGATGATGATGATGATGATGACGATGACGATGACGATGGCGATGATGATGATGACGATGACGATGACGATGATGATGATGATGATGACGATGACGATGACGATGATGATGATGATGATGAGATGAGATGAGGATGAGGATGAGGATGAGGATGAGGATGACGATGATGATGATGATGATGATGAGGATGACGATGACGATGACGACGATGATGATGGTGATGATGATGATGATGACGATGACGATGACGATGACGATGACGATGATGATGATGACGATGACGATGACGATGACGATGACGATGACGATGATGATGATGATGATGATGATGATGATGATGATGATGATGACAATAACGATCACCCCAGCGATCCACAGTCCAAAAAATCCGCCTGGTTCCACATAGATCATTGAACCGCCTTTGCGACGTCGGTTCAGGCCTGCATGGTCATCTTAAAGCCATTGGTTATGGTTGGTTGAATTGGTTCACTTATGGTTGGTCTATTGGCATGGAAAGTTATGATATGACACAATTATGTGGATGGCCTGCTGAAAATTGCTCATTTTACTCTAGAAACTATGCAATTTGTGAGTTTATTGATCAGAGCTAAAATCCTGAAACCGTTTGAACTCCTGTATGCTTTGTTTTGTTTTGGGCATGATGATAATGGTGTTGCAAATCATGGTTCTGTAAAACTGATGAGGCCAACAAACAGGTGAAGTGACTCCACCCCATTCTGGTGAGTTACATATTCCCAGTTGTATACTGGATGGTGTTTTCCGCTTTGATTGAAACCTTGCTTGTTCACATCCGCATGGAGATCCTGGAATCTTTATGCTATGCTAAAACATATCCTCATATATTCCAACATTTGCCACAGGCCCTCCCCTTTTGCCCTGCTTCATGGACGAAGCAATAGGACATAACCTAAGTTACCTGCAGATCCAGCTATTCAACCGTAGCTTAAGTTAGGCTGCATCCACGTATCCTATCCAATTTTACTGTTATTTTTGAGATATTCCATGATATTCCTCTAGAAGGTGTTCCCTCACCATCCCTATTCCTACACGTATTCAGCACCTCAATCTAACATAGAACCCGTTGGGCCATATCCAGCAGAATCATCTGACTGGGAACCCCTTTTTCACATTCCACATTTATTTTTGGTGGGTGTAGTACTCTTGTTGGTGGTTTCGAATACTTTCAGCAATCCTTCAAGGATTCACCAAAAACCAATGGGACTATCACCTCCCACAATTTTTATAAATGCTTAAACCATTTAAACATGTCAAAAAAAAACGAACGATTTTTGAAGATGTTTGATGGTAAAATCCGAGGTTTTGATGGTTAAACCACCATTCTTGATGGTTAAAGACTATGGTTAAAGCATGTTTTAAATGTTTAAGATGGTTTAACCATCAAGAATGGTGACCCAAAAACTTAACTCATTGCACCAAGGGACCTGCTTTGGACATGACCGGCGACCCCTGCTGTGTGTGGGCACGAAGCAGGTCCTGAAAAACAAAACTCAGCGAAGGATGCAACGGGATAGAAGAGTACATTGAAATCATGGGGATATCCCTATCACTACAAGGTGGTGCCTTGACATATAAATCATTTTATATAGTATTTAATGTTATAACGTGGGTTAAGTATATTTATAAATGGGGCTATCTTGTATAAGTTATGTTGAATTTATATCAATAGATAGGGAGATATAACATGAGATAGCACATACGTCCAAAAAAATACAAAAAAGTTAGCAAAGATAGCAGTTTTTGGTTGTCTAGAATGATGTTTTTAATGGTACAGTAGCCATTGTTTTTGCCCAAGTGAAGCGCTAAATCCTTGAAAGCATGGCTGAACCAGGAACCGCTGGCGCGCAGAGAGCGACATGGCAGGATTTCAAATCTTGCAGTTCTTTTTTATCGCAAGAAGTTTGGAACGCTTTGACAGCTGGAACAGAGTCTCGTGGCCAGAACATATCACTGACGCAGTGTTCCCGGGAGAAAACACTGGCTGGCCTAGTGTGGAGGGATGAGAGAAGCTGCATCTGGAAACGCGTGAGTATATCCAATAGAATAGACCAGAAAACAAAGGAACGCGCATGTGTCGCCTCTTCATTAGCCAATAAAAGCATAGATACGCGCGTGTGTTTCCCGAATGTATGTAGATAATACATAAATACGTATGTGTTTCCCAACATATAAACCAAACAGAGATTGCAAACGCGAATGTATTAAAAATGTGTTTCCACCTACAATCACATGACGGTGAAATATGTAAATGTTTGGGATGTGTTTCCACAAAAAGAAGAGAACGCACTTGTCTATCCTCATGAACAGATTAAAAATAGAAGGGAACGCGATGGTGTAACCCCGTCTCAGACCAATTGCATTTGTAAACGCGTATGTGTTAAAAATGTGTTTTTTTGTGTTTCCTAAAAACTGTGAAGGACTCTTTCAAAACCTTCCAAAACAAAAAACAAAAAAATGTTGTTGAATACACGTGCATGACAAACATGCATGTGCCTGCATGGACCAGTGCCAAAGGCAACGTGGTCATGTTTTTACCCTAATTTGCTCGCGTTTCGCGATCACAAACCAAAGACCAGAGACGCAATGGGAAAACAACAGAACTGGCCAGGCACACATGCAGGATTGAAAAACATAGTACAGATTCGACAAAAAAAAGATACAAAAGATATAACTTAACTTACAAAACCTATAACATAACTTAACATAACTTCAAGTTAACTTCCTCAAGTCCTTTTATAAAACCCATAAGTCCAACTTAACTCAAGGCACCACCTTGTATATATATATATGTATATGTATACACATTTATACACACATGTATCTTATGTGTTACAATGATTGTATTCGTTCCGTGGGCATAACATAATGCCTAGAGTATCATATAATTATAATGCCTACGGTCAATGTCTATGGGTTTGCCTAGAAAAGGGAGAGAAAATGGTACCCAAAATGGTTGGTTTTCAGACAAACCCATATCTGAATGAATTGTGATTATTCACAGCTTCGAATTTGTTAGTGTATGTTGAATCTATTGGAATCTCCGACATTGACTTTCCGAGCAAAATTGATATGCTGATCCAGATCATCACAACCGCAAGGAAAAGGGGACATTCTGTAACCGTGGCTGCCCAAGCCAATTAAACATCATCTGAGATTGGTTGAGCCGCCACCCGAAATATGCGCAAGTCATTAGGGATCATCATCACAAAATGCGGTTGAACATAAAACTTGTTTGGAGCACCAACCGGCAATTTTTATATGCACGGAAAATATATCTAGCAAGGAACACTTGTTGTACCTGAAAAGCACGATGCAAGCCAACCACCGCCTATTATGATATCACATATTTGGTATTGTTTGGTTGATATCCAGTGATACAAAGCTGGGTGACCAACGCTACATTACATCTCCATCATAACATCATATAATGACATATGTATAGAATCATATATATAATACATATACATATATACACAGAATATCAGCATGAATTCATTATAACATGATATCAGTTAATAATGATATGGCAGTGTGTCAAAACCTTGTACCCCTGTAGTTCACATCAAAATAGCTGGTAAATGGATGTTCATCCCCCTAAAAATGGTATTAATAGGTATTGATCCATACCCATATAATGAATTGAATCTTTTCTTTTTTTTAAATGTACCCTTTTCCTCATTATATCTAGCCATGAATCATCATGGGCGCCCCTCATTTCATATAGCCCTTCCGTCCTGCAAAATCGCTGCTCTCCTGGTTGGAAACGCAGGGTGACACAACGGGCGGGCTGCAGGTATTAATTCATACGAATGATCATAGTAACTACCCTCTGGTAATTTAACATAGCTTTGGAAAATGGATGAAAATGACCCATACAAATAGTTGATTTCCCTATTAAAGATGGTGATTTTCTATAGCTATGTTAAATTACCAGAGGGTAGTGACTATAATAAAACATGAACAATAGTATACAATAGTAATCATAGCTGGTGGTTGAGCCACCCCTCTGAAACATATATGAAAGTCAGATTGGATCATTATCCCAACTATTGGGGAACATAAAACATGTTCCAAACCACCAACCAGTTAATAATGGTTTATAGTGGTTAATAGTGATTGATAATCGTTTCTAATGGTTACTAATGGTTTTATGATAGTAATCATAGTGAACATGATAATTAATTACTATACTATAAATTTCACCCGCCAAACATACACAAAGATGTGGGAACCCATGGTTTCTGGAGGTGCCGAAATCGGAAAAAACAGCTCCATGGCTGGAAATCACCCAACAATGGTTTGATGATGCTCCCAGCTGAGAAATTTCTTCGCAGTGGGGATTTCCTAGCCATGTGTGATGACGTTGTCAACATGGAAGGGCAGATGATCCTTTTTCGCCACGTTTTCCGAGAAAAATCTTTTCCCCCCGGAAAGGCAGTGACTTGAAGCCTGTCGGCCTGTCCATTTACCATTTACCTACTGGATCCTATTGGTTATTCGACTGGCCAGGCTGCCTCTTTCTGAATCACTCAGTGGAAATTTGGATCTGACTTGACTTCAGGAATACACATGAAACCCGATTAGAAACCATGTGTTTGGGTAGACATTTCAAGAACAACCAACCACCAAAGATCACGGTACAGTAGAACACCATTTTATGGGTAATTAAGGTATGAAAGCCATCCAACAAAAAGACATTTTCCATCATTCAACCATCTGGATATTGATACCTATTATCCCACTATATCTCAATAATCTCCCCATAGATGGATGGTGAATGGTCCTTAAAATGATGCCCATGATTCATGGTCCAAACCCACATCCCATCACACCCTGTCGTAGCAAACCACTTGGAGGATCATCAACCATTGGGCGATCCATGGATCGTGGCTATTCCAATGGATGAACTACCCGGCCTGGTTATGACTAACATAGCCATGGAAAATATGGAACATGGCCCATAGGTTTATAGATGGTTTACCTAGCTATAAAATGGTGGATCTTTCCATGGCAAACTGTGAATGTCATAACCAGATGGTAACTGCTTGGTTGGTTGTTCACCACTGATATGGGATTTTTGCTCCATACTATTGATCCGTGAAAAAAACATGGTGTTTTTTAACAGAAAAAATGACTCATATTAAACTATGACTATAGTTACTGAATAATATGGTAGTATAACTATGGTAGTATAACTATGGTAATATAACCATTTAATATAATCCACCATGGTAGTATACTGTGACTATAGTGAACATATTGCTTGGAGGATTATAACTATCATCTGTATATATACTAAATGGATCTTCCATGGATCTTAGCCTTTTTTCTCCCCTTTCTGACGCTGACAGGGCTGACAGGTGGCTGGATCAATTTTTCGGACAGCGAGTTGGCCGTGACCATCTCTTCCACGCCCGAACCTGGGATGGGGGTAGCTCCAATGAAAATCAGCGGTTTCTGGTGAGGAAAAATGATTGAGTCAATTGAGAAAATCACTATCCAAAAATTAGGGAAACTCAAAATTATTTGAAAATTGGAAATTCATTTTTAGATGGAGAAAACTTAGTTGACTTTAACTGCCAGGTGAGATTGTTAGGTATCCCCTGAAACTTGGAAGGTTGCTGGACGTGACAAAACATCGGGCACTGGAGGCATTCTGGAAGTCCTGAACATAACCCATATCCAAACCCAATGGCTTCGCATTTCTTCCAGGATCTTCTCCAGCATTTTCCTATTCAAAGGTTTTTCACTCTTCCCCACATAAACACCAAAGAAACCAATCTTTCAGGGTCAAAACAAGGGTTTCTGCAGTTTCCTGGTGTCCTTTTCTTTAAACCAATCCCATGAACATCAATTGGCCAATGAACCAAAGAAATTTCAAGGCTGCCAGGGCAACAAATCCTGGTGAAATCATCCTGTGATCCCAAGCCTCGGGGTTTTCATGGAATACCCATCATGGAAATCAAAAAACCATTAAATAACTCATCAATATTTTATCCAGTAGAATTTTCCCAGCTTTGATTTATTTCCAAGATGCTCCGCATCTTATTCGACCATTTGCAGATCTCTTCCAATGGTTTCTCCATGGTTTCTCCATCATTTTCCAAAAAAACATCCCCAACATCTTCCAGCTTGGCCTCGCCTCTCCGTCGTTGCTTGAGATCCAACGGAAGGATCTCGGCTTCGCCGCTGCACACCACGAAGAAATCCTGCCGGGTTTCCAGGGAATTCTCCATGGAATTTCCTGATAAATCTGGTAAGAGTGAATATTCATGAAATCCATCGTCATTCCATAGTGTGTATGATGGACTTTAAGCTAATCTAGTGAATTGATGGAATATAGGGTAGAGTAACGCAGTGTGATGTATGCAATATAAAATAACGTTTGTAATGTGTTTGATGTGATGTGGTGCTGTGACGTGTTGGGTATTTGCATTTTAGTGTCTTCGTATCTTATCATTTTGGGCGGGTACTGCTCCATTCAGAGTGCAATCCAAACGTTTCCCAACCTTCATTGGTTCAATTCACCCAAGAATTTGACAATCTATCCCATTTTTAGTTCATGATCTCCGCATTGTGCCCCCATTTATAACTGGTTTCAGTCGCCCTAAACCATCCATTTTCCCATTCTCCCGGAACAGTGGAGCACTGGGCGCCTCTGCAGCACTGCCACCTCGAGGGTGCTAAAGATCAGCTGAAAGATATAACTGTAGTTATGATCAACTGAACTATAATCATGGTATAATGGATATAGAATAATAATGAATATATATATAATGGATATATTATAGTTATATCATTATTGGTAAGTTAGAATCCACTATCATCCATTAATGGTATCCATCTGATACATCCAATATTGGTAAGTTAGAATCAGATGGATATATCAGTTATATCAAGATTAGTTACTATCAGTTAACCAACTACTAACCAACTGAAATCAACTGCTGTCAATCACATTAGTTCCTGATACATCGGCTGATGCTTTGGTACAAGTAACTTCATATCAGTTGCCGAAGGTGAGCAAATCTAAGCCACCAAAATGAGATTTTTCCAGTTAACATCATGAAATCCCATTGAATTCACCATGAAATCCTCATTTTCCCTGGTGAAATCCAGCTATTTTTTGCCAGTTCCATGGATCCACTGCCGGCCTTCCACCACCAGGTGCTTCATGGGCACCCGAAGTCGTGTCGCCTTGGCGGCCAAGTCCTTCAGCAACTCGCCGCCTCAATGGAACGACTGATATCGATCGACTCAGGGGGGATATAGACTGATATAGTTCTAGACTTGATCTGATGGGCTATAGTGGGTGGAATAGTTATAGACTGATATAGTGGGTTTCTAGACTGATATAGTGGGTGGAATTTTCATAAGTTTTTTTTTCTCCGGAAATGATGATCTGATGGGTAGAAAAGAGGTCCAAGAGTATGATAAGTATGACTGCAAGGCCACATATGAGGATAGCAGCAAACATGATGGGTTGAGTATGTCATTTTCCTCCACAAACAAGGGGTATCAACAACACAGTGGGGTTGTATGGAAATTCCAGACAAAAACTCGGGGTCAACACAAATCCAAATTGTAATTGTAACAGAGGTTTTGTTTTTGGGAGGCGCTACCGAAAGGGGATGGTTTCACCCAAAGGGTAGGCATTTCACCCACCTTATTCCAGGCGATTCATGGTTGGAAAATAGTTTTTTTTGCAACCCATCTATCATTGACCAGGAATAGAATATGCCCCCAAGTCAGGGACACCCAGGTTGGAGTATCATCGTTCAAACATATCTTTCTTTTTAAATGTTGAGTGTCTGCTCCCAGGTCATACTCTTGCTTCATTTCTCTCCATTGCTTGCATGAATCTCCCCCTTGCTGTTGGTACGCAATCATATGCAATCATACACAATCCCATTTTTTGCCGTTTCTAGCTGTTTGGTCTGTTTCCCCATTTATGGCCAAAAATGCGCCAATCATCATTGGCCCAACAGGCCCAACATTCAGCAGGGTGTACCCACTGCGCAGGTATATCCCAGTGCTACTGTACCCAAATCATAGACGATATCTTCATTTATCTTCATTTGGTTTTTGGGTTGATAAACGGTGAGATGCCTTTGTACCCTAAGGCATCCACCCTGAGCTCCAACATTTGTCACCCAGTCATAGCATCACACTTTTATGGTGTTTTTCAAACAAACCATCCAGTTTCCATGCCATATCCCTTCGACCACTTCCAAGCAGCTTTTGGCCATGTCCATAGCTGATCGCAGATTGGCGTTTCGCGCAATTGACCTCTGGAACGGGATCAGGCTGGAAAGGCTATGGGAAATCCCATCAATTTGGTGTCGAAAGGGACATCATCCCCCACCATCCCCCACATTTCTGTGTTTGAATGTCATGTAATGTCAAGTGGCAAAGACATTTTTGAACTGGGTTATTTTTTAAAAGCCAATTCTTGAGTTTGTGGTTCTAGCAAACTACAGTTTTTGGGTCCCTGGGTCCCTGCCCCTTGATTTAGGTCCCAACACGGTGTTCTCGATACGAAAAAACACCCCGCCTGGCGATGAAGGCAATCTCATCGTCAGTGAGCTTACCTCGGTCATCGACTGGATCATCCCGGCAGCCGTAAGGTCAACCGCATCGCCAATCAACAAGCTTTATAGTGGTCGTCAATATCAATGGGAATTTCAGGATCCTAAAATGGAGGTACTGTACCATATTTTTGGCCATACTTTGTGGGGATATCCCCTTACATAGGCCTTATATGGGCCTTATATGGTACAGTACCTCCATTTTAGGATCCTGAAATTCCCATTGACAAGGAACAATGTCAAACCCAATTACAGGACTTTCCAATCATTTGGGTGTAACTGTATCAACGTATCATCACTTGTAATTCATAATTACTAATAATTGGAGTAAATATGATAGTCTCTGCTTGGTAATCATCAAACTATCATCGCCAGCATGGTAATAAATAAAATTGCAGTAAACAACAACAAGAACTGTCAATTACGCTAGTAAATAACGAGAAAAAAGGTCATGAGCGCCAAAAATGAAGATTGACAGACTAATGGTAACAACAATAATCAACATGATCAATTTTTGATAACAATAACACCCAATTCAATCAGCATAAAGTCATCATGAACATTCATAACAAACATAAATAGCAATACACAATACATCAATAACAAAAACTAATCAAGACAATCATGCACATCAATAAACTATTGTCACAAATATCCCCAATGTCGATGGTTAATCATGATCAGTTGGACGCAAAAAAAAAACGCGCCGCGTAAAACGCGTTGGAAACGCGCCTGCGATGTGCTCCACGCCGGGCATACGCTTGACCACGTTGCCGGTTTTTTTGGCACGGCCTTTTGGCAGGATGAGAGAATGTGGAAGAGCATTTTTATGGGAGATCCATATCATATAGTATGGTAAATGGTGACCATTATATGGTGTATATATATATATATCAGTATAAAGATATATATCATATTTGATGATCCCCAGTCGTCACCATGGGTTTCAAGTCTCAATTTCGGTCGAATGACTTGGATGCTTTGGCACCTTCCCATGGCTTCCCAGTCATAGATAACCCAGATTGACTGGGACACGATGGGATTAATTGGGGTAAGAAAAATAATATACTCTCTGGTAAACAGCCACATAGCAATGGAAAGATCCACCACTTTTAATGGGAAAACTCACTATTTCTATGGCCATTTTCAATTGCTATGTTAGTTCACCAGAGGGTAACTATGATGTTGATAATCGATAACCTTAATGACTTTTAACCAATAAATCAATGGGATATAATGGGCTCTAACCAGTGCATTTCCAACCAACCATAGATAAAGCTAGCATTTGTGGGTTAGCAACACTAGTACCCAGGAAACCATGGGATAAACAATTAGGTTCCTAGCTGGATATGGAAAAGCCAGCACGTATAGAGCATTGGAAAAAATATGGTCCCGGAAAACCACCGGTTTTTAAACTAGGTACTAGAAACGGCAAATGAAACTACATCAAACTAGCGCAAATCACCATGGGTTTGTCGAAAAAAGGGCGTCCTCAATTCCAAAGGATTCTCCCCATTTTCAGACACCAAAATCATATGAATATGGTTATATGATATCCCAATGATATTTTTATTCATGGTTGTTTTTAAAATCAAGAATCTGTATAGTTAATCAATTAACCAATTTGTTTTGCCAAAACAAGTTTAATCGGAATAGAAACAAAGCTAGAAAATAAGTAGATGAACAAATGAACATCACAAAACTATATCAAATCAACACAAATCAACGTAAATTTACTAAAATCAATCTGTTCCCCACTTTGCTTTGGGATTTTTATGGATTTTTCCTGTCCCCTACCGCTATCAGGCACCGTTG